TCCAATTAATTATTTTTAAAGGTAAATTGCAACAAATATTTCATATTTTTAAAGGGTATGACAAATTCCAAAAAAGATGATTTTTAACTTTCAGTTTAGTGACTTAGGGATATTATATTCATTTTGTGGTCTCTAGTCTAGAATTACAGTTCCTCTGCACTCATTAAAGATAAAATGATTCATGAAAAGTACAGATAAGATGTGTGTCTATCAACGTCAAGGATGTGTTTCAATCAAGGTCAAGAACAGTAAGCTTACACTGTGTGTGTAGAACCCTGGTTGTCCCAATTCTCCCTCTGACAAATGCATGTTGGCAAATATTGGGTGTAGCCCTCTGAGAGGACGATAAAGGTTTTCTTACATTCATCCTGTACATATCACTTAATAGCCTGTGTAATGTTGAACTTAATGCATGCAGACATACTTGAATGTTTTCTACATTATGTTTAATATTGCTTGTCTTACATGAATTATGCTGATATTTTAACCACCTGGAGTTGTACAATTGGATTAGTACAGTGATTTAATCAATGTAAGCACTGCATGGTCTTGTGTTTAGTATTACCTTAGCAGAATGGTTAAGAGAGATCTTTGAAAAATTGCTAATGTCTCTGTTTTTGTTTCCAAGGTCTAGTCAGCTATCCAATGTGCTGATACTAGTGTGTCTGTATGTCTGTTGTTTTGTGTCGGTAAATAAGAGTTTGTGACAGGGTCAGAAAGTTTGTTTATATATAAACAGCAGCTGGCAGGTGCCCTATGGTTCCTGACACAAATGTTTTGGTGTGTGACATTGTGTTCATCTGCCTCAGTAGCTCTCTATATAAATCTCTCACCTCACCAAAACCTCTCTGCTAACACCTATATTTATAACCTGTCTCATTGCAACATTCTGTCACTGAAAGTCACATCATGCACTCTTACCTTTTTTGTATTTGTATTTATATGGGGTAGACATGAAACTTTTGTAACATTATACACAAATTTGAATTTGTTATCCTTGTTTTTGTCTCTGCAAGGATCATGCAATCTTTTGATTGTTAAAGTAAATAAAAAAATAAAGGAAAAAGTTAAACTGCCAAAAATTTCCCTATTCCTAAGCTTCGTTTTCCTTATTTATGAGGAATCATTGAAATTGATAAAAATTGATGGATTTCTGACATTGGTGAAAAACAGCTGTTTGGCATAAAAATGTGTTTTATATTTCCCCACCATTTGGTGTATCTTGTCCATGAGCACAACCTCTTCTATATCTCTGGCAAAATTAATTGCTTTTCAACCATGGTTGCTCTCTCTGACTCCCTAGCTATCAGCACAGATGCCTTGTTTGATTATTGGTCGAAGATTTGAGGGAATTTCATTCATGTTTTATGATTTGTATATGTTGTATATTCCACATTGCCTATATGTAAATTCATTGATGAAACTTGGTTTAAAAAATCATGATAGGGAAGATTCACCCTATCAGACCTCCTACTTGAGGCAGCTTGAAAGAAAAAAAAAGATCATTCTTAAAATCTACATAAATCATTCTAAAAATTGTTTTTGAGATGTAAAATAAGAACAAGATGAGGTCATAATACAAAAAACTTATTAAAAAAAAAAAAAAAAGAAACAGTTGTAGGTCAAATTGTATATCCATTAATTTTTTGTTAACTATCTAAAGATGAATTAAAATTGAAAACCAAGGAAATTAGTCAAGTAGATTGTCTTTTTATGGAAAAACAAGCACTTAAAACACAGTTTGGAACACACATGATATTGTTAAAACATGCATGTTTCATTAAATACCAGACAGAATGGCTTCAAGTCTTCTACATCAAAGTCTACATTTAACTGCAGATTTATGTTGTAAATGACATTTTCAGTCCATGTAATTAAGTAATTTTGTATTTAGAAAGCTTAAAAATTTATATCAAGTAATGCTAATTTAAAGATAGATTACTGGAAGGATTGAAATGGCAGATTTTGTAGGAAAAAGCCAAGTTGTAAATGCATTTCAAAGCCGCAGATTGATTGATGCCAACATTCTGTGTCAAAGAATTTGTGAAACTTGAGATGTTGTAATGAGAGGTATTGTGTTGTCTCCACCCAGTTTATCTGATTTAAACTCTGATGAAAGGATAAAACAAAAATCATATAATTAGTCTCTTCTTTGAAGAACAGGGCATCAGTACTTGACATTTATACAGTAGTAGTGATTTTTGATTTATCCAACTTGCATTGTGCTGTGAATAGGAAAATTGATAAACCACAGTTAATATGAATATCAATCAGCCAATATATTCAAAAAGTCTTCATTTGTAAATTCATAATCGTATAACCTTTTGAAGTTTGTTATTATTTAGCAATAGCCTTTATAATAAGTGCAGAGTACATTCTTTGCCATCACAAAACACTCACTACATATTTTTAATTTTTCATTTAAAAGAATTTTTGCCGATTGATTACAGTAGTTTCCCGACTTAGTGTCGAGTTTTGTTAATTGTTGTGAGGTCCAGATGAACTTCCAAGGGCTGACTGAGCGGAGATTCATTCCGAGATGCCCTGGTTCAGTGAGATATTAACAGCATCATATCCGGTGATTAAATCCATTCAAATGACTCAGGCTGAAAATTATTTTTGGTGGTTTAATGCTCTTATAGAAAAAAGGGACTGCCAAATCATATATGAGGTTTTCAAACTATTTCTGTGTTCAATTTAGAATTAATCTTGAGTTTTGATAAATGTAGCATGAAATTAAGTGTCTGTTGGAGTTACTGAGGTCATAGATAAGAGTTATGGCATAGAGGTATAGTGCATCAAAGATAACTTGTCTGACATTTTATTTGTTAATGACTTCAGAATTTTTAATTGCCTCCTTTGGATAATTAATCAAATTAACATATTGCATTTAACAGCTGCTTTTGGTCCATTGCAAATTCTTTGAAAATTCTTAAATTGCAATCTGAATAAAATCTGCCACATGCCAAAAAGTAAATGTTTATGTTAAATAGACTCAGCTCATCAACAAACTAAAGTGTAAGAAATAAATACATTTAGTGTAGGATTGCCTTAAAGTGCATACTCATTTGCTAATGTTCTGATATTAGACATGTATGTATTGCATTTACAAAAGTCTACCTTTAATAACAGAAGAGTTACAGGATGGATGATTCCAAAAAGAATGCAATTGTTTGAATACAGTTATATTCCAAATCTTATGTGTACACTGAACAGACAGTATTAGGGGGGAGCTAGCATGTTTTGTCTGATTTTCTACAGATTTTATTGTGTTCTGTTAGAGGTCACATGGAGTGTATACTTCTAGGTCTGAATGAGAGAACATACAGACTTTGGATAAGGCTGGGCTTGGCAACTATTTCATTCATGTTTCCTCACTGAATAAAATGGATTTCTCACTGGTTGTAACATGTATTTTCTATCTTTGTGGCAAGATAGATAAGATATTAGGGGCAAAGTGACAGTCTTGCCATGGCTAATTTTGTACTGATGATATGAACAACCTTGCTTCATAAGCAGAAGGAATGATCATGGCTAATATTCTCCCATATAGAGGGGAAAATTCAAGGATTATAATGGAAACATTCAGACACAAGTCAAAGCAGAGTTTCTTAATCTTCTTTAATAGCTTTTAGATTTAATTTAGAGGTTTGATTGATGTTACAGAAGACTTGTATTGAGATTTTATTCTGGTAGCTAGTCTTTTGATTTGGCCCATTGAACTTCTAAGAAATGTCAGACAGATGTTACTTTGGAGGCTGGAGAAGGAAATTTTGCAGTCTGGAGGGTTTTGCAAATAAAGCAAACATTCACACACACAAATACTAATTTAAAAAAAAAATCGAACACAAATTAAATCCTCTGTTTTGAAGTAAACCCCCCCCCCCCCTTTTCTTTAACATGATCATCACTTGTAAAGTAAATTGACTGACTTGAGGCATATTGAATGATTTCATTAGTTGTATTAGCATTCAAAATTTTGCTATAAATTTTTGAGTGTCTATTCATGATGTCAAATTACTTGCTATTTTAAAAGCTCTATAGCAATAATTATAATTTACCAGGCCGATACGGCAATATTGACACTCAATTTCTCATTGAAGTTGTGAATTTCAAACGATTCTTTGCCCTAGAGGGTTCATTGACAATTGCCGTAATTATAGATTTTCTGCACTGAGCTAAGGACCAAGACAAACACATGCATACATTGGTTGTGCAGTGCCCAGAGTGAGAAAAACAGAAAATGTAATAATTTTGAAATTATGTAATGATATAAAAATGATTAATAGCCACAGCAATCTGGGTATATATTGATGTTTTGTGTTTTGTTTTGTGAGTCACTGCTTGCTCACCAAACATAGTGGAGATTGCGGAATTCTCTCTCAGATTACTGGCCAATACCTGGTCTCTCCGAGTCCAAAAAACCTAAAGAATGAACTGGAGTAACCTATGTTTGGCTGTCATGAAACGTGAAAATCAAAAGCGAAATGTAGGGTGCAATGTTTTGTAAATTGGGCTGTTTGTTAATTCCTAAATATTTGTGACCTTTTCTGTGTGAAAGAAAAAGACCTGATTACTAGCAATGTTGAGTCACCAAGTGTAACTGATGTAAACTGCAGAAAATAACAGGAAATAGATTTTGCTCATTAAGATGGGTTGTTAGCATATTTCATTGCAACTGCCCGTCTGACTGGGTAGAAATTTGTTGTTCATGAAGGAAGTGCTTTCTTCAGCAGGGATACCATTCAGACAATGGAAAAGAAGGCAAAATTGAGAGCTAAATGTCTCCTTTTTTTCAATCATCTGCAGTTACACAATGTGACCATTGTTAGCTAATCTCATTATCTGATGAAATTGTGAAATTTGATTCTCACTGAGGCCAAAGGACCATAAAGTTGTCAGTCACTTGTGTAATTTTGGTTTTATTTGTTTTACAGCCGAGGATAATTAAGTGATAGTAAATGATGTAAGAAATATAAGACTTTTTTTTATATTTGTAGGTTGTGACTCCAGTAAGACAAGGAGATATTTTCCAATTCAACACACCACCACAACATGACTATGATGTTCCTCCAGTAAGACACAGTCGTGGAAATTCTGTAGACAGGACAATTCCTGAAATGAGCTATGATACCCCTCCCTCAGTGAAAAACAATGCTGAAATAAACATGCCAGGATACTCTGTATATGATACACCCCCATCTGCTCAGAAGGATGGGAGAAGTATGTCATGCAATTCTGGAGGTGATGATGTGTATGATGTTCCTCAACCATCATCCAACAGATCAAGTATTGTGTCCAACATTTCTCATTTGTCAAACGAGTCTACCATGACAGTTTCAACCAGCAGTGCTTCAAACAAAAGTCGAGGAGGAAAGAATTCAGGTGCACACAGTTCTTGTGATTCTGCCCGATCGAGTATGGACATCACCCCACAGGACTTTTACGATGTTCCACCATCACAGTCCTCAGCTGTGTATCACCTGAAGCAGCCGTCTGCTGATTCTGGTTTAGATCTGTATGATTCTCCACCCAAATTGCGGGCTATGCTAGAAGAGCTACAAGACTATGATGTGCCAAAATCTGAATCTCCTGCAAAGAAACAGAAAGAACCAGAAGGAGAATTTATTAGAATTGGTGAAAATGCATATGACATTCCTGATGGAAAATCCATTGAACATGACATTGATGATGTGTATGATGTTCCAAAAAATAACACTCTAGTGAGGAAAGGAGAAAAATCTATTTTACATAAAACAGAGGAAAATTCAAAACCAGATCAGTTGGAGCTAACAAAATGTGAAGGGTCTGGTGGTGTGTATGACATTCCTCCACAAGTTACCCGTGATTCAATTCTGTCATCCAAATCGGATTCATCGGACAGTACAGATGGACAGAGAGTGTCTGGATGTAGTCTTGGATCCAGGGATTCTGATATTCCCATCTATGATGAACTTCCTCTGGATCTGGATGCTGCTATGGATCTCATGGTGAAGCTTCAGCAGGATGTTCAGAAATCTACAACTAAATTATGCAGCTTTGTGAGTAGCAACTGGAGAAAACGAGAAAATCTGGAATCCAAACTTTATGGAATCAAAATTGCCTGCAATGGTGTTAAACAGACTTTTGAGGAATTCTTGGATTTTGCACAAGGAACACTTGCGAACTCAGCACGTCTTCCAGATAGAAAACTCATTCATAAACTTCACAAACAGTTAAATCCACTACAACAGACTCTGTTACAAATCAAAATTTGCATCACTAACCTGGATGAGAACAATTGGCAAGTTTCAAGACTTGTGTCTGACGATCCTGCCAAAAATGATGACTTGGGAAAAATTGCAAATAGTGCAAAAGATCTAACAATAGATGTCCGAAAATTAGTGTCCATCATTCATGGGAATTCTTCACTCCTCTTCAAGCGAGCTAAAGATGGCACTCCGTTAAAAGGAGATGGCCCATCAGAATCCTTCAACACTCCTTCATCAAAACCACCACTGAGACCAAAACCAACCATGACCCCCAAAACAGCATTGACTCCTGAGAGAGTGTCTGATGTCCAACAAAGACCATTACCACAGCCTCCAGGTAAGGAGAGGCCTCTCCCACCCACACCAATTAAGGTGACCACTGCTTCCTCAGTGGAGGGATTGACCAAACCTGTACCGGACACCAGTGCCGAGACCAAGCACCTGTCTGGAGAGCTAAAAAATCTTTCCATTGATGCCAAGGAACAGAAAACTTACAATGATGAAGACATTGCTGATGAATATGATTATGTTGCTTTGGAGGCAAAAGATGGAGAAGAACATCAGAAAAATCTGAAAATGGAGATTGAGCAGGAAAAAAGAAAAGCAGTGATTCATGAGGACTTGGATGACAAACCAGTGAAAGAATCAGCTGTACCTGAATTATGTCCACTGAAATCTTTGACAGACATTCAGAATTCTCTTTGTGAGGACCAGGAAGCTTGTGATGAAATGGAGAGTGTGAAAACTCCAGTGAACAGGACGTTTGTGATTGATCCCGCTAAATGTATACCCAACATGATTAAGCTGGACCCTAATGATAAACAAGTGTTGAACTTTTACTCAGGACAGCTGGACACTCACACGACCTTACTTAACAATGCAATAGACGCTTTCTTCAACTGCATCGAGTGTGGCCAGGGACCCAAAATATTCATATCGCACAGTAAATTTGTGGTTGTGTCTGCTCACAAACTAGTGTACATTGGTGATAATTTGCATCGAAATCTCATGCACAATGAAGTAAAAACTAAAATTATGCACTGCGCAAATCACTTGTGTGATGCACTGAAATTGACAGTGAAAGCAACTAAAACAGCTGCACTGCAGTACCCCTCTGTTCCAGTGGTACAGGAAATGGTGGACCGAGTGGTGGACGTTTCACATGCTGCATATGAACTCAAGACTGTGATTGGACAAGCTTCAGCATTGTAAACTATACATATGTAGTTCAAATAATTAAGTGCTTTATATTTTTTGTTGATAATTTATTTTTAAAAAATTGACAGATAATTCTTTTTACCTCATTTGAGGTAATATATTTGCTACTGATGTACAAATTTAGCAGCATATAGATTATGAAGTGATTTTTTTTTGTCTTGTTCTTCAAATTTTTCATGGACGACATCCAAATTTTCTTGTACAAAAAAAAGGTTGTGCTGTATATAAATGTTTTATGAATTTGGTAGCACTTCTTGTAAGTGTTTGCACCATAAATAATATCAAATGATCTCATCCCTTTGGATATGGTGCTCAGAACAAAATCATCTTTTTTTGTTTCCCAGTTGAAATATTAGTAGCAAATATTGTATTTTTCTATGTGAATTATGAATGCACATTGTCACCTTGCCAAAAAAAAAAAAGGAAACCACACTCTAAGGGAAATTACTCTGGTATTGCACAATATTTGTATTGCAGATGTGCCTTAGAATCATCATGTACAGATTGCAGCATTGTAATTTTTTGTAGAGATATGCAAATCTTAAAATTTATTATTAGTATAAATTAAAATGTCAGAAAACAAATAACTGATTGTGTTCAACTTCACTCCTATTTTCTTAATTTTTTTCTTTTTGAATACACTCTGTGACTTTTTTTTGTTAATTTCATCTTTTATAATACTATAATTGTATTGTACAGAAAGTGACAATATACCAAACAATTCATAACCTGAAGAACCAATTTACCCCAAACTGTCACTTGCTCACTTATTTCAGTAACTACTAGGGAGTATATTTAGGTTACCAGGACGACACACACCAATCTCCTTGTGGTTAGAGAAATAGTTTGAATGTTGTTGAAAGGGAGAGAAGTGTGGGAATTCATTGTAATCCACTGTCTGTATGTGGTCTTACAAAGCAATAAAACAAATTATCTATAGTTCAGGTTTTCTGTTTTTATCTCCATGCAATACTGTGGAATCATCATTGTTCGTGGGGGACCAATGTTGACTTCATGGATTTCAGGAGTCACCCTTACCCTGCATGAATTTACATCCCCATGAACATTTATTTTGTAAACATTGATTAATTGAATCTACCATATTAATGAGTAACCCATGAAATTATGTCCCCAAGAACAAGTAAAATAGCCCACAAACATTGACCCCCACGAATTAAAATGATTCCACAGTATACCATCTGAAAATACATGTACAGGGAATAGATAGATTCACTAAGAAGGTACCATAAAATATACCCCCATACTTTTGTGTACATTGTAACTGGCATTTCATTCAACACAAATGATTCTGTGAAGATTTTTTTCAGACATATTTCCATGTAAATGTGCATCCTTACCATACCACAGGGGCAATCATTTGAACAAACTTACATCTGTGCTACCCAAGATTGATTGCATATCAATGCTATTATAATCATGACCCTGCTGTTCATGAGATTTTGAAATATTTTTTTTCTTTAATATATTCATATGTAAATCTTTGATCCCTAATAGTTGCCCAAACCCTACCCCCTAGGGTCATGATTTTAACAAACTTGAATAAGGACAATCTGAGAATGGTTGCATATTAATATCACTAGTCATGGCCTTGCTAATTTGCAGAGAAAGAGATTTTTTCCTCAAATATTCTCATGTAAAATGTGTATCCCTTGCTGCAGCCCTACCCTAGCCCCAGGGACAATTATTTAAGCAAACTTGATTCTGCATTACCTGAGGGTGCTTACCTTGAGATGTTTGATTTTTTTTTTTTTAATAATGCAAATCGTTAATCCCTTATTGTGGCTCCACCCTTATCCTGAAAGGCATAAACTGAACAGACTTGAATCGATGTGCATTTCCTGAGAATGCTTGCAATTATTTCTAATAATCATGGCTCTGAATTACTTTGATTTCCTCTTGTAGCCCAATCTACCCCTGGAAACCATTATTTGAACAAACTTGAATCTACATTGTATTAAAAAAACATTCACGTAAATTTTGTTTTTTTGTGGCCCAGCTAGTGGTTCTTGAGATAAAGAAATGCCAACAAATTTTCACTATTTCTTAATTATCTTCCCCTGAAATAGGATGTGGTTCCTTCCCCTAATTAGGATGTGGTTCTTCATCTGAACAAATCTGAACCCCCATCCCCCCTTTTACCTTAAGATGTTTTTGACAAGTTCTGTTGAAATTGGCACAGCCCACAATACAGAGACAGATGAATGCCAGACATTAAATACTCTTCAATCAGAAAAGCTCACTTAAACATTGGGCATAGGTGAGCTAAAAAGTGAGGAAATTAAAGTATCTGCATTGGAAAAACTAAACAATATTGTCCACATCTAGAGGTGATTATAAATGTTTTATGTATACATGTTTTTGTCTGGGATTGGATACGCAGCCAAGTACAGTGTATTAAATTCCACTCACCTTAGCAGTTTCATTTACAAAATCTACAGATATATTCTGTAGTTTTTCTTTTTTTTTTTTGGAAATTTAGGTTAACATTGTTGGCATAACATAATTGGTTTAGTCTAGAAGCATATTATACATTTGGGAAAGACTGGAGGATGTGCCATGTTTGCTGTAAACATTTAAAAGTGCAGATCTACAGAAATTAAATAATCCCACCACATAATTAATATCTAGAGCATTTGTAGATTGGTATTTACAGAAGGAAATTAAAACGACTGGGTGGGGAGCAGATCTCATTTAGAATCAGTATGACAAAGAGTAATGGCAATTATTTTCTGTTTATTCTTGATGAATCTAAGATATCAATACAATGTACACAGTAAAATAATATAAATAAATCTGAAAGACTGACAATGGAGAAGAAATTCTACAGTCAATGCCTGTATTCTTAATAATAGGTGAATTAATTTGAATTGAGAACTTTTGTTAAAACATATTGCACATCATGAGAAATTAGCTGTGACATCTGTTGTAAACAAGGCTATACATTTAAAATAAGTTAAAAAAAAAACATTACTACTTACACAATTAACATCACAAATTAAACTTTCTCAGATTATCTCAGTATCAATTAAAATGACCATACATCAGATGTACACTGTACACATCCAAAAAAAAAAAAAAGATTTATCAAAACAATATACCATATACATGTATTTAATAATATCTTTGAATTTACAATATTCCATTTGCTATAATAATTGGATCTATATCAGCAATACCTAGTCTTTTTTTTTTAATGCATGTACCGTTACATACATATACAATTCAATGTTGTGATTCAGAAGCCTAGTAATGTCACACTGAGCATGTCATTAAAAATAAGAAAAAGAAATAAAACACATTTATTAACATACATGTTGACTCTATGCTTTACTATGCTTTATGTGAAAGTCTATCTTTTTTTTTACTCCATCTCCACCTCATCTATACTCCTTTGTAAAATTTCAGTGTCCTATAAATGCACCTTCATGTGGTCCAATTACAGCAATGATTAAGACAAATTTCAGTCTACATTGTATTAAGGTATTTTCAATTAGAAATCTTGTTTTTGGGTGAAAATTTTCATGAACTTTGTAATACACCATGAAAAAAATACCCTGCTATTAAACTGACTTGATTCTGCACTGCATAACAATGACTACATATGAATGTGACATTTTGTTGCTTTGTACTTTGAAAAAGATTATAGTGATTTTTCCTTAACATTTCTTTGAAAAATTTTAAACTCCTTTTGCACCCCCTCCCTTTTCTATTTCTTGAAAATGTAAAATAGGTGTACAATGGCACTATAAAATAAAGATTCTCTGTTAGTCTCATTAAATTTTATTTAGTGGTATAGGATGGAGTTGTGGATAAGAGATGGGTTCCCCAATGTTAAATAAAGAATGTCAATGCATGTCCATGTTTTGCTATAGGAAACTAATATCTTTCATATCCAACAGGAAGTGCAAAATGGCCTTTATAATAGAAGTTCTGTGAAAATTTCATTAATATGCATTCATTAATTTAAGAGGAGTTGTGGATAAGTGATGGCTATACCCACAAGTGTACCACGACTGGCACAGTCGTTTTGATAAGGGAAACCCCAAATATCTGTCCAATCAAAATGTAAAATAGGAGGTGCACAATGGCACTATGTAATAAAAATTATGTGAATTTAAAGTCTCTTAAAATTTTATTCAGTGGTATAAGAAAAGTTGCTAATAAAAATGGGTACCCCCAGTACTAAAGAAAGAATAGTGTCCTTATTTTGCTATGGGAAAGCCCAAATATATATGTCTGATTGAAACGTAAAATAGAAGCTGCAGAATGCCACTTTGTAATAAAGATTTCGTGAAAGTTTCATTAAATTGCAAGAGGAGTTGGATAAGGGAAATGTAACAAATGTAACAGATGTACAGACATACAGACAGACATGTTAATCACTATATATATACCCCCACCTTTCAAGGGGGAGGGGGATATTGTATAATAAATGTACTGATGAAAAGTTAAATAATTTTCTTGTGTGAGTAAAATGAATTGTACAATATCTATATTGTTCATAGCCTACAGTATTGACTAGGACTGTTTGGACAAAATTGATGGTGTAAGTGTATCAAAATAAAGCATAATAAGACTATTATACTGCTATCATAGCGGTATTTATGTCTGTGCTCAACCTGCAAATGCACAATAACAGACATAAAGCAGAGCTAGAGCATCAGTTCAACTGAGTGATGCAAGTGATCTTTAGATATAACTTCCATCATCATTAAATACTGGTAGGTATTCTCTTTACACCAATTTAGTAAAGTTTGTTGTACTTTGAAATTGTGCATTGTCCTTCAAAATGCCCAAATATGTCTACTACCCTTGCACTACACATAAATAGTGAAAGTTTAAAGCTGGCGTATTTGATAGAAAAAAGGTCTTTCAAACACAGATGTGTGACATATCGATGATAAGACCTAATATTACTTATTCTCTCTTTCACAAAGAAGGGAACAATGAAGACATGCTCTTCTTTTTTAAAATTAATTCTGTTCAAAAAACATTTTCTCCCACTTTTTCCCCAGAAGGTGGGGGAGATAAAATGGCATATGGTATAACAACAATTTGAAAAAATATATGTACCCCTAAAAAAATCTTTCAGTGAAGGAATATTGAGCAGGAATGTAACTAAAACTATCTAAAATGCAATATTTTAACAATGCATTATAATAAATACAACATCAATTATACATGTTTTATAGAGACAACTAAAATAAATTAAAGCTGACTACATATGGCTATAAGTACTTGAACAAAAAACTATACTTGTACCATTATTTTATGACACTGTATAGTTTTCAGATCTTTTCATGTGCATTAATTAAACTTACTATCAATCTGAAATAGTCTTTATTCCTTAATTCTCTTAAAATATTCAACAAATCTGAAATAAAACTATGAACAGTTTATCTAATGGTCTAAAATCTATTCAATAAGAAAGGGTGTGTCCAGACAGGAGTATCCCGTACTTACACCCCCCTCGTTCACTCCTAAGTGTTTAGTCCGCATCAGATGTCCCACTTCTTCATTCTCCATCACTTCTTCGGCTGACCTTAAGGAGGGAAAACAAGAAGACTGTGAGCCAATACTCACTAGTAATACCCCCGCTTTGATGTGAATATACACTCTGATGTGAATGTACATAAGTTCAGTTAAGGACAGACACAGGGATAAACAAGAGGTTGACATTAGATTGACATTGGATTCAAACAAAAATAAATCCCACCAAATGGCATGCCTAAACAAACAGTGTGCTAAAATTTCATACATCTGCAATGAGTAATTGCTGAGAAAAGTGTGACAAAAATTTGTTATGTACGGTAGGGACAGACACACAGAAAAACAGGAAGTTGACATCGGATTTATATAAAAATATATCCCATCATATGGCATGCCTAAATAAAGAGTGTGCTAAAATTTCAAGCCTCTGCAATGAGTAGTTGCTAAGAAAAAAAGCGACAAAATTTGTTATGTATGATACGGACAGACACATTGATAAACAGGAAGTCGACATCGGATTCGTACAAAAATGAGTCCCACCATATGACATGCCTACACAAAGAGTGTGCTAAAATTTCAAGCCTCTGCAATGAGTAGTTGCTGAGAAAAAAGCGACAAAAATTAGTTATGTATGGTAAGGACAGACACACAGGTAAACAGGAAGTTGGCATCAGATTCGTATAAAACTGAATCCCATTATATGGCATGCCTAAACAAACAGTGTGCTAAGATTTCAAGTCTCTGCAATGAGCAGTTGCTGAGAAAACTGCGACGAAAATTATTTATGTATGGTACGGACAGACGCACAGAAAAATGGGAAGTTGACATCCGATTCATACAAAAATGAATCCCACCATATGGCATGCCTAAACAAAGAGTGTGCTAAATTTTCAAGTCTCTGCAATGAGCAGTTGCTGAGAAAACTCGACCAAAATTTGTTATGTATGGTACGGACAGATGCATGGATAAACAGGAAGTTGACATCAAATTAGTACAAAAATTAATCCCAACATATGGCATGCCTCAACAAAGTGTGTGCCAAAATTTCAAGCCTCTGCGATGAGTAGTTGCTGAGAAAACTGTGACGAAAAATTTGTTATGGACGGACAGACAGGGGGACAGCTAGACATTATACACACAGACAGACACACAAGGGTAAAATAGTAGACCCCCCTCTCCTTTGGAGCGGGGGTATAAATATAATGGTACATGTATATACAAAGCAAGATTGAAAGAAAAGTGAAGAAAAGAATCTGGACATACTGTAAATTTGTATTTTGCAAAATACAATGGATTTATTTAAATCTCAGATATCCTCCATACAATCAGTAATGATCGAGTCACATCTTTTGATTAAAGAAACATACCACAAACAAATTTTCTTATCTCCAACACAAAAGAGTTACATTGCTATTTTTTCAATATTTCTAATAAGGAAATTTTAACTGTGTAAAATGTAAAATATAGACTGTTGAAAATATTCCCAGTTACATTACAATAACAAAATTTTATAATATTTCTAAAACTTTTCAAAATTACATGTATGTTGGCTCGAACCATCAAAGTTACATTTTCACACTTTTCACCAAATTACTGTATGTGGCTTGGCCAAACATAAAGTTGTTTAACTGTTTAAACAGATAATGCTTTAGTTAGAGAGGCACCTTTTTAATTTGAGTTATTTACTCTCAAAGATCTTAATTGGCAGCAATCTCATGAAATTATGTGAAAATAAAGTTCTCTCAATAATTTTTTTTACAGGAAATGGATAAGGGATTTATTGCTGCTTTAATACAGGACTGTATAAGGTAATCTTGGATTAACTAGCAATCAAAATTTGATGTGAACTTTCCCTAATATGTAGACCTATTTGAATAGAGAGATTCTAGACTATAATTCAGTTCTACATGGCCATTATAAATCCCAATGTCAAAAGTCAAGGTCTTGATCATAAACAATTACGATAACTATAATTTACTTTCTGCCAATATTCCAGATGCACCTTTTACATGCCAAATTTCAGTTTTCATTAAGTTTCTATTTACATCTTGTCTTGGAAAAAAAAAATACCTTGACCTTCAAATCAGTAGCAAACTTTCAGTCAGTTTAAATTTAGTTTTCGATGAATTTTATGTTATACACAATGTTCTACCAATTTTATTTGAAGTAATAAGAAGTCAACATTTAAAATGTTAATGAATATGCATAAAAAAAAATTTCTCAATCAGTAATTGTAAAAGCTGTAAATATATACCCCAGTATGGTTCCATAGACTCCAATCTCACTGACCACCTTCCTTAGTACAGAGTTCTCTCCCACCTTGATAAGGTAATTCTCCTGTACCCAGGGGTAGATTTTTTCCATGAGAATGTATCCTGCTCGTTCCTCATCATTCCTCAGATCTGATAGCAGAGTTTTAATCTCATCATCATAATGGTTGTTCCCTTCAAAGTATACAGAAAAGCAGGCCTTTACATCCAGTTTCAATAAATAATCTATGTAAAATGAATTGAGTAAACCAGTTGTGTGAATTTACTCTTAAATTCACAGCTTTATAAATATATCTAATTTGCTGTTACCAGAGGTCTGTTTCTGCGGTGTTGTACACTATTATCTGATGTAGTAGAATTAGCATTACTTACCTCCACCCTCTCTCTGTGGCTTCAACACATAGTCTTGAGGATTGTTAATTGCCATCTCTGCATTGTTGTCTCCTTCAGGGTCCTTCAAAGTAAACAACATTGTTAATTTGGAACAATCAAAGAGAGATAACTCTAAATCATCACATATAACTTCCAGTATTTTCAAATCATCAAGGTAGCTCAGTCGGTGAAACACCTGCACCATGATTGGAAGGTTGAGGGTTTAAGCCCTGGCCATGACAGACCTAAGTTGATGAAAAATAGGTGGCAAATATTACTTCACCAAGTGCTTGGCATTTTCAAGTGAAATTGCGAGTCTTTCTGATGAAACCTTAAAGAGGTTTGATCCTGAGCTTTTGAGCAGATTTTTTTCAGGACCTCTATTTCTAAAATTCTGCATCATATTATTTTATTTCTTACAATAAATTTGGATTCTACAAGGTGGATTAAACTATATTCAATTAAAAACCCATGATTAAATTCCATACAAAAAGCATTGAGGAACTCCATGTGTATTTTGTGGCCGATGGTTTTTTTTTTTTTTTTTTTAGAAGAAAATGATCAATTTTTCCCTTTTGAAGTACTTACAGTACTGTTAAGTTTGGATTCCTACTTTTCCATGCAGGCTGCACACAGTTATTTTGTGCAGTGAAATGTTTTATGTTGGTTCCATATTATAGATTAAATTAACTACTATGAATTAATTCTATCACCATATTGTGACAAATATAGCAAATATATTGTGAAAAATGCAGAAAAAAATAACCTAAATTTTAACTTAAATTTTACACTTTTAAATATCTAAAAAAAAAAAAATTATCATAGAACCCCCACTTTCAATACTGAATATAAGATAACTTTGACCATTCTGCTTTAATTCAGTAAAAGCTTAATTAAGACTCTTATAAAATATTTTTATTGCTTTTTAAATTTTTAATGCCAGAAAAATGACATTATATGAGTGCAGAAAGATCAAATTGATTATACAAAGTAATTTGAAAAATTTCTTTGTCACAATTAATTATCAATGTGTCTATTCAAAATAGAATAAGACTGTATTTGGGCCCATGATTTATTTGGAAGAAAAATACTGGATGAAAAACTTTGAAACAATGCTTTATGTGTAAGACGAAATTACAGTGCAAAAGGTCATATTAAATATACCATAGCGCAAAAGAAGCATGTTGACCCTATTTTTGAATGGATTTTTAATTACTCTATGTGTGTAGATACTAAAAATATACTTGACAAAAACTTCTTCAGACTTTTATAGCAGGATCTAACCTAATTAAAAACCGAGCCCCCGTAATTGTCATGATAGGTGTTGGCACGATACAGATACTTCACTGCTCAATGGCCCTCAGTGCCAAGTAAATATCTGTATAAATTTGAAGCCCTTCCTCAGTATATACTGACATCTCTACGCGAGTGAAAAATTCTCGGATGGAACATAAAACAACATAGAATTAATCAATCCAGTATTTTCTTAAGGCTGTGTATCATGAGGGAAACAGATATATCACCATGACTCACAATATTTCCAAAAATATCACAATATATCAAGTTTTTTAAATTTAAGGAAAGCAAATGTAGTTTTCAGCATATTTTTTTCAAAAAGTTTTATAAGTTTCCTAATAGTTTTTGTACTCTCTGTAACCAAAATTAATGCAAAATAATGATTTACTTTTTAACTGCAATAAAAAGAAATCTCATTTTTTTTAATTGAATTTTTAATGTCATAGTTCCACCATTATTTATGTATATGCTCTATTTTCAAGATCAAATACCTTCGGAAAGTATAAAAAATATGGATATTTCAGTACAATATATATGTATCAATGTTACTCTGCATCACAATACATTGATCGTTATATGGATGTACTGGTACATGTATTGTTACACCGCTATATTTTCTGATGTCACAGAATTATAACCCTTTCCTTACCAGATCCAGACTGTATTGGCCTGCAAAAAATGATCGAATCTTTACTGCTTCTTTTTCATCACTGATGAACTTTTCAACAGCCCCTTGTTTTGCCAGTTCCTGCTGGATTTTTTTGGTCCCTGCCAGCTGATAGTGAACTGTAGGACACTTAATGGCTTTTGACCTTTCTATACTGAGCCTTACATCCCATTCCTATAAAAGATCAAAAATTCAAAATTAAACATACGCAAAATTTAAGACATATAACATACAAAAATTCACCAGTTTATTAGATAATTGTACCTTTTGACTAGGATAATGATTTGGGGAGTATCCTTCTCTAAAGTAGACAACAGCTATCTCTGTATTGTTACTGTAACAAAAATAATTTTATAGCTAGTTAGTGACCTAAAATGGAGTTATCCTGGGTTTGAAATGGAAATCCGTACTGGGCGAGGTGGATGACTCAGTATTAGGTACATCACTGACTGTGTAATAAATTAATCCCACTGAAGAGCTTTACAAGATTAGTTCTGAGGTCAGTAACATATCAAAAAAAAAAAATATGATTCAAAATATCATTGAACATCATATATTCTCAAAAATTACATTATCACAATTTAAGATACATACAACAAATTTCAAGAAACAAACTGTTTGGTTGCCGCCATTTGTTTACATCAGAAACATGTACAACAGAATCTCGCGTCCTATTTTTAATACACCTCCTGCTCAGAGATAGTGTATTAAAATGTCCTAGGGCATCATGTGATCTGTTTTTAGCCAATCAACATTCTACAAATTTGTCTGAAGTGGGATAATTATAGATCCAGTGAAACCTCATTATCTCAAACTCAATGGGACCGAGAAAAAACTTCGAGAAATCCGAGGATTCGAAATATCCAGGGTAAAATACTTAAAGAATAAGGGGTTGGGACTTCCAAAGCACTTTGACATATCCATAGTATTCGAGATATCAGTGTTCGAGATACCAAAGTTCAACTGTATTTACCCCATTTTATTTTGCACTCATCATGAGTGGGCAAAATTAAAATTTGGGAAAATTTAACAGAGACAAAGATATTTCTCTTCTAACATGTATGTTTCTGGGCAATTCAGAACGGTGCAAAATCTTTCCTATTGTGATTAAGTATAACTTACTACCCTTTATTACATTTTCAATAGTGAAATACTGTGAATTATTTATTGAATAAAAGTGATATTTTTTTCACAGTGTGAAAGGGTACAAAAATGGTATTCTGTCACAGTGTGAAAGGATATCAAAGTAAGTAGAAATGATTTCTGGCCTGTCATAAGATAGAGATAGTAACTAAACCATCTTGATAGAGACTAAAACTGTAAATTTCCTCCCAAATATATTGCTAAAATCAATGGTACAATGTTTTCAATCTCACAATTGCTAAGCTATGATGTCTCAACCACTCAACTATCACAGCCTATAACACTGTGTTAAGAAAAGACAGAGTCAAAGAGAAATCAAAGAAAATGTAATTAACAGAAAATTCAATGTTTTGTAGTTGGATATTTATTTCACTCGTGAGACAGGATTTTTTGATATTTTCACTCGTGCTTCGCACTCGTGAAATTATCAAAAAATCTTGTCCCACTCGTGAAATAAATCCCATATCCAACAATAAAACATTGAATATCCTCTATATACCCGAAAGGCATCACTGGCAGTAAGTAAATGTAAAAAAATGCAAAATAAGGCAAAAATAAACCACCTAGTATACAGTATTTCAGAAACTGATATGAAGTCATTTTTCATGCAATAATTAAATTAAAGTACATAAATTAAGACAATGGAAACAATGCTATCTTGCAAGATTCAGCATATAAGGAAAAAAAAAATTCATCAACTCATTGATGCAGTTTGGTCGTACTTGTACCTGATTCAACATATTACACAGCACCATACCTGCACCTCAGTACCTGATGAATAACACGTCAATGATTCTAATATTAAATATTGTGCTTCATTATTACATAAATACTTACACAAAGAGTTTTTTGTCTGGAGACACTGACATACTAGAGGATAGCGATTGTAAACTATAATAGACTACATCTATTGAGTGATCTATCTCTATGATTTTCTTCTCCAACCAAACTTGGTCCATGTGGTTCTGCTCAGGTACGCTGACCACAAACAAGATGGCTGCACTGAAAGATTTTATTAATTTGTCAACCAGATTAAAATTCATAGACATTTAAGACATCATACATGAATGATGAAGTTCCTAGCCAAGTCTTTCAGAAAGAAAGACAAACTAATTGTAGTTTCTAAAGGTGTTCTTTATGAATTTTAAGGACAAACTGATCCTATTATCAGATTTAATTGACAAAATTCTTAAAAGAGGGATACTTTTTGTTTCCATAGTGTTGCCATGCTTTAACTATTCCTCGACACAAACCAAGGGCTGGGTCATTTCTTGGTAACTAGAAATAATAAGTAAACATAAACTTCTTAGTATAATGATATATTTCTTGGAAACTAAAAATACAGATGTAAATTTGCTGGTAAAATTTTACAGTGAAATTTTTCATTGTGCAAATGTTTACCTGAGTTTTCGTATATTTAATCTTGGATTTAGCTATTGTGTATCTACAATGGAATAAAACAATATACATAAGTTATTAAAGAAATTTTTGAATAATTCTATACATACTTATTTCCTGATAAATCATTAAGGTGATTAAGTCATAAGTGAAAGGAGACATGGTTTTTAAATATTCTATTCCAAAAGCCCTTAACATCCTTTCCTTCAGATGTGAGCCACATGCAGTACGAAAAGTAAATCTTAATTTGATCATTCTATTCAAATCAATATTTGTCTTAAATCCCACAAGTTAAATATTCTAACACCCATCACTTGATTTCTTCTCCATTAAATCATTGAAAACTGACCTAAAAATCTATACAATGCATGTAAACCCTAGATTGTTGTACATGTACTAACTGAAGTAAATGATAAAAACTTTAAACAGTACATGTACATACACGTTAGATCTGAACCCTTAACATGTTGCAGAATGTGACTAACCTGTGTACATCTGACAGTGCCCCAACTAATCCAGCAAAACTTGATGCTATGGTGTTAAACTCAATCTGTTTTAGCTGAGCATGCTCGCCAATTTGAGACAATGAGCAGTCTGCATTCTTCTCTATTTTCTTAGTGTCCATCATAAAATCATTTCTGAACAGGCCTAGGGACACTGGCTATGACAAAATAAAATAAGACTTCATTGTTTAAAATTTGCTTAATCTCGATCCACAAGGAAAATTAAGTGTATTATGTTATATGTAAATCACAAATACAGTGTTGGTTTTAAAATGGATGTCTGCTCCTGATCAAAAATTTGATCCTTTATCCCTTAATTACTAAATACTCTTGTGAACCAATTAAAATTATCCAATTTCTTTCAGGCTGTGTCTAATTACAGCTGTTAAAGAATTAAAGCATGCTCTCTTTTAATTTTCTAACCCAGTACTACTGTGTGCACATACAATGAACAACTATAAGATCATATCTTTAATCAGTTTCTTGACTTTAAATGTTTTGATGAGATTAATTATATTACCAGTGCTATTTATTGCCTGTGATTACCTGTTTAAAGCCTTCTTCTCTAACAGTGTTGTAAATGTTCCATAGTTGTCTTGTAAAGTCATCTACTTTGATAACACTAAAATATAAAGTACAGTAAAACTCGTTTAGTGCGAACATGGATATTGCGAATTCACAGATATAGCGAAGTTTTCTTGGATCCCCCACTATGAAAATTTTAGGAATTCCTTATACGGATATAACGAATTAGGAGTGAAACGGTTCACCGCGGTATCGATTCACCGTGGTATTTTTTCTCGGTTTGATACACTGTGCAAAATCTCTAATTTTCGGTTCGGTTCATTTTTCGGTCGGGATCGTTATTCAGTCGGGTTTGGCATATTAAGGTAAAACACGTTACTTAGTATAAATAAGTATAGAAAACGTAAATTTTTTATGACTGATAGCTTGTAAAATAATTTTTGACAGTCAAATAATTTTAATCAATTTCTTCTAGTCAATTTGCAAATAAAATTCGTAAAATATGTGACTAGATTTAGAAAAAGTAAGCATAAAACAACGTTGAATTTGTTTCCTTCTATCAAAATGTATCGTATCGAAAATAACCGAACCGAGACAAAATTATACAATATGTATCGAACCGTGAAGGAGGTGTATCGTTTCACCCCTATAACGAATTACGGATATAGCGAAGTAATTTCACAGGTCCCAGTGACTTCGTTATAACCGAGTTTTACTGTAGTAGAGAGTATGGATATGTAAAACTATAAAGTACTAGTATGACAATCTTTTACATGAAATAGAAATTCCAATAAATTTGTCCAATCCTCTATTGTAGTGATGAGGAGGCAGGGAATAAAATTTTTAAAATAAACATACAGCCAAACCTCATTACTTCAAACTTGATAGGTCTAAAAAAATTATTTCAAGAAAAGAGGCCCATGGGCCACAGCACTCACCCGAGTCACTAATCATCCTTCATTCTTCATCAGCAGATTTTCCCCAAATATATTCCTTTGTAAAACTTTGATTGCCCATTGTGGTCCCTCCCTACCCCCAGATTTAAACAAACTTGAATCTACACTACCTGAGAATGTTTCCATATCAACATGACTAATCATGGATCTGCTGTTCTTGAGAAGACAAGATTTTTCAGTACATTCCTTTGTAAAACTTTGATCCCCCATTGTGGCCCCACCCTACCCACAGGGGACATAAATTTGAACAAATTTGAATTTACACTACCTGAGGATACTTCCATATAAATATGACTAATTATGACTTTGCTGTTCTTGAGATGAAGATTTTAAAAGATTTTTCCTATATAATCCTTTGTAAAATTTTGATCACCCATTGAGAAAAAGATTCTTAATGATTTTTCATATGTATTTCTATGTAAAACTTTGACTGCCTATTGTGGCCCCTCCCTTCCCCCTTGGGTGATGATTTGAACAAACTTGAACCTACACTACCTGAGGATGTTTCCATATAAATATGACCATGCAATCATCACTGCAAAAAAAGATTTTAATAATTTTCCCTATGTATTCTTATTTAAAACTTTGATCCCTCAATGTGGCCCCATTCTACCTCCTGAGGTCATGATTCAAAGAACTTGAATCTACACTATGTCAGGTAGTTTCATCTTTTCTGGCTAAGATTTTCTTCAAGTGACCCCACCCAATTTTCACTATTTCTTAATATCTCCCCTTGGAAGAGGGTGTGGCCCTTCATTTGAACAAAGCTGAATGCCTTTCACCCAAGGATACTCGATCTGTACCAAGTTTGATTGAAATTGGTCTAGTGTTCCTGGAGAAGAAGATGAAATTGTAAAAAGTTTATGACAACAACGACAACAACAACAATGACAGACAATAGACAAATTTTGATCAGAAAAGCTTTCATAAGTATAAAAGCAGCATATATAGAGTCAGAGGACATCCTTACTTCTGCAATGCTTGCTCCATGAACTGGTGGTCATGAGAAACTCTATGCATCAGAAGATTGAAGGACTTTTGGATGTCCTTGGCTTTTTCCAGTAAATTCTGAGGCACAACAGATGGAAATAAAGTGAAAGGAGAATGATTGACCACAGCAGATGACCCTGGGTTTTCTTTTGTCCTCATTAAAGCACCTGTAGTAAAATACATCAATTTACAGTACATGTTTATTATCATTAAATAAGTCCATTCACTGATGAACAAATACGAGGGCTGTTCGGAAATTATTGAGACATTGTGTATATTCTTCTTTCTAATGAACGTTTTTCGGTGAAAATTTGTATATACATTTGACAAACTCTAAGAAGTAATAAAAACAAGAAATATTTTAAAAATATTTTATTTCATCTTTTCAATGGAATATTAATGTGTCAGTGGTAGGGGTACCCGGCGCAGTCACGAAATCGGATATTGAAAATATGTAACACCAACGTTAAAACTCCCAGTGGATACATAGTAAGAGCGAAAATAATTCAAATTATGTATATAATATTTCAATTTAACTTTAAGTTCATTTTGTGCAAGTTTGTTAGAATTTCGATCAGAAATACGGAGATCATTAAAATATTTACGCGCGGTATAGCTATCTGATAATGACGACAAAACGGATTTTGACGTCAAGGCGGAGCAGCGATCATACCTAAAATTTTGTGTAGCGGTATTGAGAACTCTTGTCCAGACTAAACGACCTGCTAAAACAATAACAATGCAATAAAACAAGTCTAAGGGTTTTTTGTTTCATTGGTATATATCATTTTCTTACAAATAATTCAACCAGAGTAAAAATAAAAGCCCCGGACAACCATCAATTATTACGGACTAAATAACGTTGACCCGCGTTGCATAACTCGGTACTGCATGATGCTAAGTCAACCTGTATTTGACACTTTTTGTATATTTTACACTGGGGTAGCAACAGCATTGGTTTTTTTTTTTTTTTTTTTTTTTTTTTTTTAAGAATCGATTAAGAAAAATAAGACACAGTTTGATTTTTGAAATGTTATATGTAATGATAGAGGAAGTAGATTGAATGCTTTCTGGTCATTTCACAATGAGAATGACGTTAAAATGACGTAGCGATGCTGCTCCAGGTCAATAGACATATGCTTGTTTATAATTTCACCGGAACTTATTTAATTATCCTATAAATTAGAAATTTTGTACATTTGTTTTATTTGTTCTTTAAAAAACATTGACGAATTTTTATGAATTTATCTCTGTCCTTAGATAGAACGTTCTATCGTTAAAATGATATTGTCCTACGGACCCGGTTTGTGGTGAGGGCTTGTCCCGAGACACAGTTAGATTATTCTAACTACTCTGTCCTTTGTGGAGTAAAAGTATTTGTCTCAATAATTTTCGAACAGCCCTCGTACATGTACAAACATTTGTGACTTCCAAGTCCTCAATGAACTCAACATAACAGCAGAATACATGTATATAAAGAAAACTTGGTTTACAGTGCATTTCTTTTTGAACAATATTAATTTCTATGTAGTGACTGCAACACAAAACTAGAAGCTGTACGTATTTTATCATTTAATCATCTTGATCAAAATACTTAAGCATTACTTCATATCTACATGACATGTCCATTTATTTGCACAAAGTTTCACTTTTAAGCACTCTAAATTAATGTATTTATACATTTATTTAAGGGTTCTCTTTACTTTATAATATCTCTAGTTTTTGTTTTGTTTTTTTTGGGGGGGTGGGGGGGGGAGGTGGGTAAAAAATATGTGCAATTTAGAGCACAGGGTCACTTGCATCATACACAGTAAAGCTGTAAATGCATGAGTTACCACATGTCCCATATTCCAATAAACCCAAACAAAAGGTCCAAGGGCAACAATGGTCACCAGAGCCACCTTGGCCCTGCTGTTCTTAAAAAGAATTTTAAAATATTCCCTCATCATTCCACTGAAAAATTTTGACCCAAGTTCAGGTGAGCTTAAAAAAAACTATACAGTTAATAACTAATCATTTATGTAATGTAATATTATTTCTATATGTTTCAGGTATCAGTCATCCTTAGTTAATTAAAGAGTTACTCATTGGATGATGGTTATCATTTATGACTGATACCAGTTCTACACAATTTGACAATTTTGGTACAAAAGACGATCTATACTCCCCAACATGCCAACGTTAGAGTGCCCTGTATTTGGATGTGAGTGGCAGTCTCAGGACCTGGATGCAGCTTTTGCCGCAGCGATGACGGCAGCCCTCCAGATCCACGATAGAACTGTTCACCAGCCACAGGCCCAGCCAGCAGCTGCCGCAGCTCCCAAACTGAAGTTGGACCCACCCACCATAGCTGCTGGATGTGACCCAGACCAGTGGTCAGCGTTCACTCGACAATGGGAGATGTACAAGGTGGGTATGGCCATTGCCCAAAACGTCATACCCACTGCTCTGTTCTACTGCTGTGACTCAGACCTTCGGACCGACGTCATGCGTGACCAACGAGGTAACATCACAGACATGCCAGAGGCAGACCTGATGAATGTCATTAAATGGCTTGCTGTGAAGGATGAGAGCACATTGGTACAACGCATTAAGCTCAGTAAGATGACACAAGCACCTGGTACCAGCATCAGAACGTTTTTAGCCAGTCTCCGAGGTCAGGCGTCTCTCTGTCAGTACAAGGCCACATGCAAGGAGGAAGGGTGTAACCACATTTACGACTACAGTGATGAGATCATAAAGGACAATCTGGTTAGAGGAATTGCAGACCCTGAAATTTTGTCTGACCTGCTTGGTGATCCTAAGACAGACAGAACCTTGGAAGAGACTGTTTCCTTCATAGCACAGAAGGAACAAGGCAAAGTTACACGGAGTGCAGTTGGAGATTCAGCCGGTGCGATGTCGACAACGACCCATAGCCAAAAATCAGTACAAGGACCTGGAGGCAAGTGCTGGGCATGTGGTGGACCTGCCCACGGACAAAGAAACGATCGTCGAGTCAGACAAAGAAGTTGCGAGGCCTGGACATCTACATGTGCCAAGTGTAAAGTTAAGGGTCATTATACCAAGTCATGCAGCAAGTGTTCAACGTGTGGTGCCTGGGGACATTGTGATTCATCGTCAAGGGCTTGTACACAGGGACGAGGACAGAAACTCCGCAATCAGGGACCATCACAGGAACCGATGAAAGATGCTGACGACAAGGTTGGTTATGTCTACGACCAGCTATGTACCACATCAGAACAATATCAGAATACAGCACGTCTTGAACATCACATCTTCGAAGGAAAATGGATAGCTAGGCCGTCCAAACCTCATCCGATGCTACTGGTTAATATGACACCTTTGGCCGAGGACCATGCGTCATTTGGACATCCCATCAAAGATGTTACAAGGCTCAAAACGATACAACTGACCATGGTAGCTGACACCGGATGCCAGAGTACGATAATCCCATTGCAGACAGCCAACAACCTGGGAATTACCAGAAAGGACCTAATTCCAGTTAAGCTCGTTATGCGAGGTGCCATCAAAGAAAACCTTGGGGTTATTGGAGCGGTTGCAGTTGATGTGAGGGTCAGAGATGGTTCCAAATCTACACGCATATTATGTTATGTATCTGATGTCATGGAAAAAGCTTTCATCTGCAGGGAGGCACTGGTTTCTCTTGGAATAATTCATGCAGACTTCCCAAACCATCCCGTAGACACATCAGAGAGTTTTGCTTCTGTAGAAGATGAGACTACCTGCTCCTGTCCCAGACGTCAGCCTAATCCACCTCCACTGCCAACAACACTACCACCAGGCTTGGACGCTACTGAAGAAAATGTGGATGCATTAAAGGAATGGCTACTTGATTACTACAGTGCTACAACTTTTAACGTATGTGAACATCAACCTTTACCGCTGATGAACTGTGAGCCCCTAAAGCTTCACATAGATCCTGATGCCAGACCAGTTGCTGTTCACAAGCCAGCACTGGTACCCATCCATTGGCAGGATAAAGTCTATGCTGACCTGGAGAGAGACGTAAGGATTGGAGTCTTGGAGAAAGTTAGCCAGAATACCCCTACAACATGGTGTTCCAGGATGGTAGTTACAGGTAAAGCTGATGGTACGCCCAGAAGGACGGTAGATCTTCAACCACAAAACCGTCACTCCGTACGCCAGACCCATCATGTACCGAGTCCGTTTCATCTAGCAGACAGGGTACCTCAAGGTATGAAGAAGACCGTTACTGACGCTTGGAATGGATACCACTCTGTACCTATTCGAGAGGAGGACCGTCACTTTACCACTTTTATCACACCATGGGGACGGTACAGATACAAGGTAGCTCCACAGGGATTTATGGCCAGCGGAGATGCTTACAACCAACGATTTGATGCTGTCATTACGGACTTCAAGAACAAGGTCAAATGCGTGGATGACACTTGTATGTGGGCAGATTCTGTTAAAGCAGCATTCTTCCAGACGTGCGAATGGTTAAACCTCTGTGCTCGGAATGGTATTACCCTCAACCCGAAGAAGTTCCAGTTTGCTCAAGATATTGTAGATTTTGCTGGACTCACAATTACTCCTACAAATATACGACCAAGCACAAAGTTCCTAGATGCAATCAGCAACTTTCCCACACCATCCGACATTACCGGTGCAAGAGCATGGTTTGGATTGGTCAACCAAGGTGCCTACGCGTTTGCCATGACTAAACAGATGAAACCGTTCCGAGCTCTATTGAAACCATCTACACCGTTCCATTGGACGGATGAGCTAGATGAACTATTTACAAAGTCCAAAGAGGTCATTATCCAGGAGATGAAGGAAGGTGTTCGTCTGTTTGACCCAGCACGCATGACCTGTCTAGCCACAGACTGGTCCATTGATGGTATTGGCTTCTTCATGATGCAGAAGTATTGCAGCTGTGCCAGTAAGACCCCAGCATGCTGTAATGACGGATGGAAGCTTTGTTTGGTCGGCAGTAGATTCACCCACCCAGCAGAAAGTAGATACGCTCCAATCGAAGGCGAAGCCTTGGCTGTTGTGTACGCACTCCACCAGACAAGATACTATGTGCTCGGATGCGAAGATCTCATTGTCGCCACTGACCATAAACCACTACTCCAGATATTGAACGACCGATCACTCACTGAAATAGATAACAGGCGTCTCCTTAACCTGAAAGAAAAGACCCTTGGATACAAGTTTACGGTGGTTCATGTACCTGGGAAGAAGAACCTTGGTCCGGATGCAGCTTCCAGACATCCAGCTTGCCCCCCAGATCGACTGGTATTACCTGGTGATGCCACAGTAGACAAGTCCCTTGACAGTTGCTCTGCCAGTTGTCGTGATACACCCACCAGTTTCGGCCTATCTACTGAGGATCGAGATCAAGCTGATGATACCTCCACAGTTGCTGCCGCTACAACTGCATTAAATGCCAACATCATGGTTGTAACTTGGGATATGGTATGTGAAGCCACAGCATCAGATCCTACGTATATTAGCCTGCTTCAGCAGATAGAAGAAGGGTTCCCAGAGGATTATAGGGATTTGCCACTGGAGTTGCGCCCATTTCATCGTTTTTCTGGCAGTCTATGCTCTGTTGATGGTGTGGTTCTCTTGGGACAGCGTATAGTCATTCCACCTGCCTTACGTAAACCAGTACTCAATGCACTTCATGCAGCACACCAAGGAGTCTCGTCGATGCGTGCCAGAGCCATGGACTCGGTGTATTGGCCAGATATCACGGTGGATATTGCCAGGACGAGGGACCAGTGTGGACATTGTCACCAGATGGCTAAGTCAAACCCCATGCAGCCACCTACTGATATAGTTCCTCCTGAATATCCTTTCCAGAAGATCTGCAGCGACTACTTCACCTACAACAGTAAGGATTATGTTGTCGTTGTGGACAGGTACTCCAACTGGCCCATGGTATACAGATCGGAGTCTGGAGCGGATGGACTGGTGAAGCGCCTTCGTGAGACGTTTGTCACATTTGGTATCCCAGAGGAATTAACATCAGATGGAGGTCCTCAGTATACAGCTGGAAAGACACAGGAATTCCTGAAAGCCTGGGGAGTCAGACATAGAATCTCATCAGTTGCAAATCCACATGCCAACTGCAGAGCTGAAGTTGCAGTAAAGATGGTAAAACGTATGCTTGCGGACAACATCACAGCCAATGGTTCCTTAGACGTGGATAAGTTTCAGAGGGCTTTACTTATATACAGGAACTCCATTGATCCAGAGACGAAGGCATCCCCAGCCTTGATCCTGTTTGGTCGTCCGATCAGAGATGCCGTACCAATCGTAATGGGTAGATATTCGCCTCATGATACATGGAAGGAACTGATGTCAAGTAGAGAGTTAGCTCTTGCCAAACGCCACTCAAGAGAGCATGAAAGATGGAATGAGCATACCCATCAGCTACCACCACTGCAGGTTGGAGACCATGTGTATATCCAAAACTTAATGGGCAACCACCCAAGGAGATGGGAACGCACTGGAGTTGTTGTTGAGGTCCGCCAATACCACCAGTATGTGGTACGTGTAGATGGCACAGGAAGGGTGACGCTAAGAAATCGCCAGCATCTGAGGAAATTCACCCCGTTTAACAGCAATTCACCCAGTGCGATTGAAACGATGCCGAGAATGCCACAGCCTTCAGAAAAGACTGTTACAGATGGTTCATCCTCGACTCAGAAAACATTGACTCTAAATCCATTGAAATGTAGCACACCACAACCTTCGCATGTGACTCCCAGGGTGGATGGCCCTTCTGTTCCACCACCTGTTAACCATGGTTCACCTGCTACATCTGGAGAGGTCTCACCTGCAGTCGTGACCCCAAAATCAACCGCTAAGTCGCGTTTATCGCCAAGACGACTATTGACAGACAAGGACGAAGTCGCTCCTCCGACAGAACATGAAGACAAACCGAAGGTCACACGTTTACCCCGCGCTCTGGCTCGTCTTCAGCCGCACAATGCACCTGGAAAGAAAGAGTTGTTGACGCCTGGAAGACCACGCCGCAATACTAAACAGGATTCCATGGATTCTGCAGAGAATAACTGATTATTGGACAGTTCAATTGATCTTTAATTACTAGTGACTGAAGTACAGTTGTGATATGAAACATTCCGTAATTTGATATTTGATTTATACAGACCTTTTAAGTTTTATTAATGCCTAAAAAACTTGTCCCCGGGGGAGGAGATAACTAATCATTTATGTAATGTAATATTATTTCTATATGTTTCAGGTATCAGTCATCCTTAGTTAATTAAAGAGTTACTCATTGGATGATGGTTATCATTTAGTTAACTCCAACTTTATATTAAGAGTCAGTGCACCGAACTCTTAAATCAGTTCCCACAATCCCCTAATAATGACTACCCAAGCTACATTCTTATAACATTAAACAAAAATTCACAATTGAAATGAAAGTCACATTGCTTCAATGGAAATTTCAGAAAGAAAGTAGATAAAACACTCTCTATTAAAAAAAAAAATTGTTATTTTTAAACTTGTTACAGAAATGCAACTAACATATGGCGTTATGTGACATCACAGTCAAGACATTTCCAAATGTCTCGTGCGGTTTGGGGTTTAAAATGATTATGAATACAGCTGTCCTTTTCCAGTAGTCACACTGTCAAAATATTAATCAATGAAATAATTATATACCTGTGATGTCATATAGCTTGTATAAGGTTACATTCTCTTTCAGATCTAATGGCTAATTTTATTGCAATATTCATTACCATTAATAAGTGCAATGTCTTTTGCACTTTGAAGTAGATCTTGAAGTTTCTTCTCCTCGATTTTTGTGCCCTCCAGAACAGTTGCCATTTGACTAGCTTCTTATGATATTGTAATAAAAAATTGTAAAGATATTTTAAAAAGATATTTAGATTAATAAAATGCAGTTAATATGGTTAAAAATTGGAACATACGATCTGTCTGAAATAATTGATTCTTACCGGCAAAGTAACAATACCACGAAATCAGAGTCAATGACATTTATGCTTAAATCTTGTTTAAAAATCACATTTGATTTGGTAGACTGAACAAATATCAATATAAATTTACCTGAGCCTGAGGTTTATGCTACGGTTTATGCTACGGTCAAAATGAAAGTTGAAAGTGAAAACAAATTAACTCGTTCCAATATGAGTGCAATGTTTAGACGTGTAGAATATGAAATGTCTTAAATTCTAAAAATCGATTTTAAATGTGTGATCATATTTCAATTTAAAAAAAATGTTAGGTTTAATATGGTTATCATGATATCAAACTTTACGAAGTAAAATTTTTATTTGGTGTGCGAATTAAAGGGCCGATGATATATACACGACCGTCGTGCGCATAGTAAAGAAAGTCTATTTACACGACCGTCGTGCGAATAGCTATTGCAAATTGCTGAGATATATACACGACCGTCGTGCACATATGTAAGAAAAAAAACTATTTACACGACCGTCGTGCAAATAGCAATCACACATTGCCAGTGATATGCACACGACGGTAATAGCAATTAGTAGGCCATTACATATGTGTCGTGTGCTCGAAGCCACGACGTTGTTTGCACGATCACTTAGAATTATAATTTGACCCAATATGAACATTCATGTCATCATTTTTTTTTTGACATTAAATACTCTTATTAGATAAATGTTTGCATTTATGAACGGACATTTTACTTTAATTTGTTTTTTTTTTTACACACATTAAATTAGGAATTAGTAAAAAAATAAAAACTAATCGATAATTTAATTAATCCGATCCCGATCAGATTTTGTTTGAGCTGATAGACTTGCGTGTAGATGAGCCTGTCTCTGGCTTTATGTGACACGTACGTTTAATATTTTTTTCATTGACAGTTTTTTTTAATCATAGTAATTATTACATGTATGTTGCTATTTAATTACCTCAACTTTTTTTCAATTTAAATAATTTCAATTTCTAATTCAAATAAAAAAATTATAAAACATATGAGGGATTGACATCTGTGTAAGATCTACACTCCAACTTCAGATGAAAAAAGCTGTCTTAGGCACTCTCCTATCTGAATTGTAAAATACATAAGCTTAGAAACAGGACTAGGACATAAATATCATATTGCATTAGTCCTCATTAGTCTGAATGGACTGGAACATGATCGTGTCCCCTTTATGGTACTCTCTCATTTCTTTAAAGTCTTTCTATTTCTAATTTTTTCCCACTTGAAGGCTACTTCATTTTAATAGTACGTATTTCTATTTGAAGCTGAATTAAATATTATGACCCCACAGCCATTTCTTTTCACAACCCTCTCTTTTTACAGTACAGCTTCTTTTGTGGATAATTGATTAAAATTATTTTACATACCTGTATAAAATATGTGGACACATGAGGATAGGTATATTATGAGGTATTTAAGTGTGCCCAAAGGAATGCAAGAATGCAATCGAATCGTAATATAATTTCTATCAGTTTCATAAAAATGTAGATGAAGCAATTTATTAGCCAAAAAAAACAACAAATCTTTTAAAAAAAAATGAAGATTAGAGACCTAAAAAAAATCGGAAAGGGGGATGATCACTTAACATCCGCTCTAAAAGAGAAGATGTGCGGATCACCAGGGTTAGACACTAACTTTCACACTTGGCTAGCGAAGAAAGGAAAGGGGGAGGGGGTAAAAAGTTACATTACCCTCCTATATAGCCTTTTTGCCCTCAACCCACACAGTGTACTCACACATGTTGTATTCTGGATCTGCCACTGCATATTTCGACCCAATATTGATGACCAAATTAATTACAGAAAATTATAAAAATTGAATGTGTGCAGGGAAGCAATGAGCCATAGCTGTCTTACCGACGACAGGGCCGATTCAAGACTTTAAAAAGAAATGACCCTAAGCTTTTCTTTTTCAATTCAAGATCAACCAATGTAATATCATTTGCGGACGAGTATTATATTTTCATAGTTGCAAGTATGTCATATAACAATCATTTTACATGTTCATTACTCTAACTGGGTCAAAAGATTTAGAAAATTAATAAAAATAAAACAAGTAACTATGCAAAATTTAATAAAATAGTTTAGAACTGTCTTTTCCCGAGATACTTTCAAAGTGTAACGTGTATATTAATTATGACTTTCTGAAATTATGTTTATTTTAAAACATAGTAAAGAAAATGTAGAAAAAATATACAAAGAAAAAAAAATAAATAAAAGAGCACAACTGGAAAAAGCACTTGGATTCACCACATTTACATTTCAGCAATCATATCACTGCGCCACGAAGTCATAGATATTGAATACATAAATGTAAGAAAGGTTGCCAAATCCTAAAATAATATGAGATGAAAAATTGAGTATATATAAATTTCCACCATTTTCAACATGAATTAAGACCACCTTTAACCAAAATAAAGTGCCGTAATACACAAAATTATTCAAATGTTGTTTTTCTGGTTAAGGGTGGTCTCTGTCAACAGTTTGTCATCGTTTAGGTAGATACACTGTACATGTACCTCAATATTTACTATTTACCCCACCTCTGATGATTTTTCGATGAAATCCTTGCTTCCGATTGGTTGAAGTCTGTAACGTGAAGGGGGTGTATTACTTATACCTAGTCGCTTGAAAATCAATACATGGTTGATGCGGAGTTATCGTTCTTTTGTAACACTTCAAACAACTCGAGTTCACGAGGTTTGCGGGTGTCGGTTGATAAGTAAAAAGTTAATCAACGTAAGTAACGAGATTGAACCTTTTTCTCACTTTTGTCATGTTGTAAATTTTGAATTTACCGGGTGGCAGTAAATACAAAATTTAGTAAATTTAGTATTTACTGCCACCCGGTAAATTCAAAATTTACAACATGACACTTTACTAAAAAGTCTTCGAAACTGTCAGTACGTTATGAAACACTCGCAAAACAACATTACGTAACACAACGTGACGTCATAATAGGCATTGTATGAGTGATGAAACATATAGCGGAGAAAAACAATTTTACAAACCACAGACCATAAACATTTCATCGGTGGGGTAAATTCGTTACATAGTTTTGTAGTGACAGGGTACGGGATGATACCTGGTTAGTAAATTTCATACCTGGCGAGGCGAACGGGATGATACCTGGTTAGTAAATTTCATACCTGGCGAAGCCGAGCCAGGTATGAAATTTACTAACCAGGTATCATCCCGTACCCTGTCACTACAAAACTATGTAACTAATAATACTCCATACAAACTTGATGATTTTTATAATTATTATATAGGGGAACTATAAACGTATAAATATCATTATTGTTAAGTTTGAGATTACACGTGTATATATAAACTAAGGTTGTATCAGACAAAATTTTGGTTAAAAGTGTATTTAAGAAATCACTACTAATAGACAACAGAAGGCGAAAATGCCTATCAATGCACTATGGCTTTTTTTTAATTGGTGAGATTTGGTTTGAGGTGGATGGGGTAAAACCACAAGCCTACCAAAATAGTTAGTAAATATTCTGTTACAGTGAAATGTGAATATATACAAATACGAGGCTAGTTCTAAGAGAAATAGATTTACATTTAATTACAACGGCCGATGCCCATTGGACCTATATGTCACTTTAGCATATGGACAAACACCACCAAATGTTTTCCCATAGACTTCCATACAAAGTTGAGCCCCTGTCACTGATACATATATTGAATTTTGGGCAAATGACTTTCTTGCCGTGAAAGTTCGAGATCTTGTAAAACAAAACATGCCAGAAAAAATATACCGTGCCGCGGCACTTTTACTTTCAAATTCCATTTGTTTACAACTAGGTGCGTTCAGCACCAAATGAAAATCTCTAACCAAAGTGCATCCCTCCCTTCAAACTTTTACCTGTAACTCCTATATATCTCAAAGGAACCTAAGTCTTGATATGAGATTTTTATCATCTTTATTTCACTTGTCAAATACATAACTAGTCTTTTCTCTTAATGACCAATCACGTGCCAGGTAGCATTTTCTTCTCCGCACAACTTTGGGTGTCCAAAATGTCTGCGCCCATGTATTTGTTTATGTAGGAGTTTTTCCATATATATTAACATATTTTCATTTTTCAACAGAGAGCTAGGGCATATGTTTACAAATATTTTTGTCATACTGAAAAGATTAAATTTAAAGATTTTGACAGGTTGTCTTTGATTATTTTTCATTAAAGTGTTTAAATTATCAACTAGATCTACATATCTATTTAAATTAACATTATGAAAGAAAGTTTTTCTGATGTTTTCTTACGAAAATGCTTTTAGGCTTAAACCACTGCGTGCCGAACTTAACTGGGGACGAAACAACGAATGAAATAAAAACATAATGGTCGTGCGAATAAGTCAGCTACATGTATATAACACACAATACAATACACGACGGTCGTGCAAATAGTCACTGAAAATTATATACACGACGGTCGTGCAAATAGTCATTGAAAAATTATATACACGACGGTCGTGCGAATAGCCGATGAAAAAGTAAGTACACGACGGTCGTGCATATAGACACTGCCAATTAAAGATCGGGCTCGAGATGCGGTTTCGACTTCACGTGACTTCTGCTGAAGATTGCAGCCGGCTTGCTTGTAGGACACATTAAATTTTACTGTCATCTAGTCAAAGACATGTAAGTTTATTTTACAGAAATACTAAGTTGCGAATAAGGAAGCTGTGTCGGAAAGATATGAAGATTAACTTTCTGTTTAATTAATTAAAAACTTTCTTTTTGTTGTAGACAAGCAAACTGAAACTAGAAGTAGACTTTGTTATGACTCCTCTCTCCCCGTTTACAACGGGTAACTCGGGGGAATCGCTAACAAGTATGGGGGAGGCGTTTTCAGCGTATGGGGGAGTATATTTTCACGCCTTTTTTGGTATTTTTAAGTTGTATCAACAAAATAAAAAAGAAAAGAAAACAAACAAACAAACTTCACACAGAAGATAGCAATAGTTAAGCTTTGTCTTGGTCATTTGTCTGGCTATCATATAGTGTAGTATTCTCAAACACTTCAAAACTATTTGACAGATTTCATACGTAACAATTACTGTATGTGTTGTATTTGTATAACTATATACAAATATAAAAGAGACAGCTCACCTATGCACACCTATGCAGGTGAACTCAAAGAGCCGCAAAACCTCCCAGGTTATTTATGGTGTGTTAACACTGTCAGGTCTACGATGCAACTGAACTTATTGTTTATAGTTGACAACCACTCAGAGTAAGAATATTGGGATCTTGAGCCCGATCAATATTTACCACATTCCTCCCCCTCATATTTTAAAGTTTTTACCTATATTGTTGTAAATTTTGATAAAACACTAAAAATTATATCAAATTCTTTAAAATGATAAAAATATCAACATAAATTAAACATGATGCAAAATGACAACAATCAGACGATCCGACTGTATATCATCGGCATCAGTGTTCCCTAATCTATATTACAACATCCTAAAAATAAACTTACCAATCTTAAGTGTAAAATCTCTTAATAAAATATTTTCTAGATTTTAAAAGTATATTTTGATTAAGCTTTATTAAAGATGAATTATCAGAAACTCCTCCAACAAAAAACATCAGACTATCCGACGTCAGTGATGGAAAATTCTCCAACAATTCTTGACGATCATTAAAAAAAAAAATTGCATTACATAATTAAAAATTTCTAAAGAAATGAAATTTTCAGGGTGACTGTTAAAATCTCCAGATGTGATAGGTTTGACTGAAAAAAAAAAATAGGGGTTAAAGTTTAAATTTAGTATGGGGTTGTGGCCTTGGTGTATTGATGTGAGCTGAAGAATGGCCTACTTCCTCAGCTCTTGAAAGTTTAAATCTGATTGTGGGGATGATCTGTTTTGAAATGATACTTTTGATCTAGAGTATGTTTGATGTAAGCAGTTTCTTGCGTAGTGACCCATCTCACCACATTTGAAACATTCCACCGGTCTCTCTCTTTCAGGACTATATGATCTTGATTGACCATCTCTTGTAGGAGATTGTGATCTGTATCTTGGTCTTGATTCCCTCTCTGCCTCAGTCACCTTCAGTCTTTTTAAAATTTCCATAAGCATTCTCTTGAACTCTATGTTGTCATTTTCTAGAGCTGTCATTCTTGTCTCCAGTGAAGGTACAGTTTTAGGTATTGTTCTGTTGATAACCCTTATGCTCGCATCCTCTTGGTGTGTAATTATAGGTGGAATTTCTTCTGATTTCTCTTCAAAGGTAACTCTTCTGACTTCTTTTTTAGGCCCCATTATTAACTTCTGGTTAGTGATGGTACTTTTCATATGTTGTACTGCCTCATCTAGTGTTTTCGGATCTTTGTCTAATGTGACCAGTGCCGCTCTTTTCTCAGTACAGCCCCTTAGGAAGGCATCAATAGTTATGGTGCTCTTAAAGTACTCAGGGGTGTCTGGATAGCCTTCAGTTGTAAGCTCTTCAATTCTTTCAGCGAATTCCTCTAATGTTTCGTCTACATTCTGTTTTATTTCTTGTAACTGCCGCCTGATGATGTGGGGCTGATCTTGCTTGTCGAACCTCTCCTTCATTTTCTGGCATAAGATGTTATAATCTTTTTGTACATTTTCTGGTCTAGAACTGAAGAATTTTAAAGCTTTCTCTCTTAAACATTCTATCAATTTGTCTAATTTTTCTTTTTCATTCCACATGTATTTCTTTGCAATATGGTTAAACTGTACAAAATAGGGTTTCCACTCTGATTTCCCATCATAAGTTGACAATTTGGGAGTGGCTGGACTGCAAGGTGTTTTCGCATTACTTCTCTTATCTTCTGTTTTTTCACCGTTATGGTAAACATTTTGGGGAGCTAACCTATTTATGTGTGAAATGTATTCTTCCTGTTCTCTCTCTGCTTTCATTTGTCTTAAATCTCTTTCTCTCTTTTCAATTTCTTTTTCTCTAAGATCTAGTTCTCTCATTCTTATCCTGAATTGTTCCTCTTTCTCTGTTCTTTCTTTTTCATCTATTAATCTTTGTACCCTTTCTTTCTGATCTACAAATCTTTGCATTTGTTCATCTAACTCTCTTTCTCTAATAGAAAATTTCTCATTCATTTCTTTCTCTTTCATTTCAAACTTTTTTTGCATCTCTTCAAACATTCGGTCTGCTTTCTCTCGACTAGCAATTGTGCTCTTATGTAATAAAGTTAGTTCCTCGTCTTTCTTCTTAATTTCATCCTCTCTCTCTCTAATCAGAATCTCTCTTTCTCTGATCTTTCCATCCTTTGCCCATAACTCTCTCTCTAACTCTTGGATTTTTTCTAACAATTTATTTTGGGGATCTTCTGAGGCTTTTGTTGTTTGTATGTCTGATGTATTTGTTTGATCTGAAATTTGTTCTGTATTGTCAGAATGTCTAAGAATGGATGGTACAATAATTAATCCTTCTTCTACCAGAGGATCCCAGATTGTACTTGGGATATTGGGAATTAATTTTAGATCTTCCAAGGTTATCTCTCCCTTTCTATCTCTGATCTCTAATATTGCTTTTGCCCTTTTGTCTCCTATATTTCTGATTGTTTTTAATGTTTCTAGTGAAGCCTCATTGATATTAATGGGGGTAGTCATAATGCAGATGTAATTGCTTCTATACCTGTATACACCTGTTTTGTATGATTCCTAATGATGTTTATTTAACTAAATCATCAGACAATCCGACGATTTAGTCATGTTGGTTTGCATTGAAAAACATGTACGTGTATACTAGGAAAAATGAATTGGAAAAAATGAAAAAATATAAAGCACAAAAAATGAAAAATACAAAAATAGAAGGGAAAGAAAAAAAAATGTACAAACTATTTCTCAAAAAAAAATATTGTCTTCAAGGCTAGAAGACAAAGAGAAATAAGTTGCTTTCCCACCAAAAATCTATAAAAAATAAACAAATAGCTTTTCTCAAAAAAAATATTGTCTAGAAGAGACAAAGAGAAATTTCAAACGGACTAGTACAAAATCAATAAATATTATTTCTCAAAAAAAATATTATCTATAAGAGATAAAGAGAAAATTGAAAAAAACGTGTTTTATGAAAATAACAAATAGAGTTTCTCAAAAAAAATATTGTCTTTAAGAGACAAAGAGAAAAAGAATACTACAAAATAAACAAATAATGTTCCTCAAAATGAATATTGTCTTTAAGAGACAAAGAGAAAGTTCAAAAAATTCTACAAAATAAACAAAAAGGGTTTCTCAAAATAAATATTGTCTTTATGAGACAAAGAGAAATATTTTTAAAAACGGCGCCAAAATGCACGATCTTCTATGCGGGGTAATTTAATTGACAAACTACACTTCTGACACCAATGTTGTATTTGTATAACTATATACAAATATAAAAGAGACAGCTCACCTATGCACACCTATGCAGGTGAACTCAAAGAGCCGCAAAACCTCCCAGGTTATTTATGGTGTGTTAACACTGTCAGGTCTACGATGCAACTGAACTTATTGTTTATAGTTGACAACCACTCAGAGTAAGAATATTGGGATCTTGAGCCCGATCAATATTTACCACATATGAAGAGAAAATGTCCTAATTATTAATTTTTATAAAGTCTAGTCAAGTTTTAATTGTTGCATTTAAAAGATAAACGTTTGCTTTTGCTGTTTTAACTGTCAGAAGCCCTATGCAATTCGTAGATTGTGCAAATCATGCATGTTTTGATCACTCAATCATGAATATGAAATCTGTCAAATAGTTTTTAAGTTTTTGAGAATACTTGACATATATGATAGGCGAGCAAATGAACTATTGCTATCTTTCGTGGGATATTTGTATTTTTGAAAATACATCTTACAAATAGCGAAAAAAGATGTGACCTACATCCCTTCTGACTCTGAAGCGGTGAAAATATACTCCCCCATACGTTGATAACGCATCCCCCATACTTTATAGCCATTCCCCCCCCGTTACCCATTGCGTACAGTGTATCTGTGTACAATGAACATGGAATACATGTATATCCCATCCTTCAACATTTTATCGATTTATTATAGAAATTGAATTTATGATTCGATGTCAGAGACAGAAAGTAAACAGGTCCAGTCCAAAGACTATTTCTACCTATGTAGAAATTAATAGCTACCTAGGTATTTAAAGTTACTTGAAGTAGCTACTTCTACCTACTTTTACCTGTGTTTGAAAATAGAAATAATTAAAGTGCATCTTTAAAACAGGTCAGACTTTTTGTTTATCATGTTGTAGACTTGCACAGCAAAATTCTGGGTTTAATTTGAAAACTTTATGAGGATGGAGAATGGAGAAGAAATGCATGAAAAATCATCCCAAAAACCTTTTTATCTAAGAAAGTATGAAGTAAATATTTATAAATCCATGTAAGCAGCAAACTTGTCTTCAGTAAAAATTTTCATTACTTTAGAATTTATTTTACATTGCAGGATGATGCTTTGAAATACCATAAGAAGAATTGAGTAAATTATGCTACACAAGACACCCTTTCCTCACAGATACCAGCAGTGGGCATTCACAATTGCTGAATTCATCCTCAGGCCAGTTTTATGGAGCTTCAGTGAAATTGTGTCAATCTTCATTCCAACCACAAAAGAGAGGGCCAACATTGTGAAGCATTATGCAACCAATCTATTACTTCTTCCTTTGTATATCAGTATTTTGACCTGTCTCATTGTCCCAGCTATTGTGGCCTTTTTGTTGCGATGTTTTCTACACTTGGTCAGAAATTCCTATGTGCTTTCAGTAAAGGGGACTGATGGACAACTTTATGACTCAAAGAAGAAAACATATAATGTTACAACAATGAATATTTGCCTAATGCCCGAGTTTCTTTCTAGATTTAACAACCTATCTCATACAAAACAGCGAGCACAAATTATAGGACAAAGAATCATTGCAGATCAAATCCAAACTGAAAATATAGCTAATGGAACAAAACAATTTGGAGATATTCAGACAAACTTTTCAGAAATAGATTTTATGTGTATACAGGAAGGTTGGGATAGGGACCACAATAAAAGACTGGTTAAGGAGCTTCATAAATTGTATCCCTGGATAATATATGATGTAGGAGATACTAGTTTATTTAACAATTATTTTATTTTCAATAGTGGGTTGATGTTTGTTAGTAAATATGAAATCCTTCATGCTTGTTTTAAAACCTATAGTAATTCCTGCAAACAGTGCTTATTTTCTGGGAAAGGACTTCTTATGGTCAAGGTATTTATTACTCAATTATTGAAACATTTTATACAATTTTCCATACATGAATAAATACTTCATGAGAAAGTAAACTTGCTTCTTTTGATAATAAATCATACATGGGTATTGTATACCAAAATCATCAAAAAATTCTATTTGATACTGCAAATTGTTTAAAATCCCCCCCCCCCCCCAGCTTATTTTTGCTCTTTCATTTGATATTTTGCTTATATTTTTTACTTACAGGTTTTGCTTGGGAAGTTGGAGGGGAAATCCAAGGTGGGTTACATCTTCAACACACATCTACAGGCTTATCAAGGTAGTGTTTAACATACACCAAGTACACGACTTACTACTTACAATGTAGAATGAGTATAGAATTGTGTAGTGAATTCAATTTTAGAAAATATGTGCATCATGAGACATCATTTCATAAAAAAAAAAATCATTAGACAAATAGAATCTTCAGAAATTTAATTATTGTAAAAAAAAAAGTCAAAAAAGAAAAGTTTATATGCCTCAAAATTTCGGTTAACGTTTAATTGTTTTGCATTTTTGTTTTGATGTAGGTGAGACGCCAATTATCCAGAAACAGCTGGATGAAGTGTTGCTGTGGACCGAGGAATTCAGGACACTGACCAGTGACCAAAGGGACAGTGTGACCTTTGACATTCTTTGTGGTGACTTCAACTTTGATAACATATCCCCAGGTATCCAAGTGCTGGTTGTGTATACTTGATTATACAAGGGTTGTTCGGAAAGTTCGTGGACTTCTATCATATCTTTTTTATTTAACGTCATATTACATGTATATCCAAATTTAGTAGAAATATTTTAACAATAAATGTAAATGATTTGAATTAAAAAAATTAAAATATCTTGATTTATTTAAAACTTATTAGGAGTTAAAAACTGCAAAAATTGGTTCAAGGAGCAAGTCAAAATTTATTAATTTACAAACAATACACTAATTAATGCCTTAAGTCATTGCCTCTGTAAAAAGGCTCAACCCCCCCCCCCCCCCCCAAAAAAAATCTAGACGATCAAATTCAGAGATGTTATATCATTTCATATTCCAAATTATGAATTAATAGTTTGCTTCATGGAAAACAAATCAATTTCTGAAGATAGGTAGTCCTCAATGAAAAAGGCAAATAGGTGAGGTCGTAGAATGTGACGGAGCAGCAGTTTATGATACTATTTTCTGTTGTACTCTGGAAAATGTCAGAATAAAATCTAAAAATGTTGTAGGAAGCATGAAATATTTCAAAAGCGAGTCATGCATGAGTGTGTGTGCAAATGGCCCAGGCGGTATTTGAATGATATGGACTTTGTGTCAGAGGAGGACGATCTGTGAGGAAACAGATTATCTGTAAAAATCTAACCAAAAACGTTCAGTTAGTAAGTTCTTGGAAAGAGAAAGGCGCTTCATGGTTGCTGATCTTGTGAAAGCATAGTTAAGCAGTCAAAAAAAAAAACATTGACAAAGTTTCTCCAGTATGCTTCTGGAACAATTTTAACAAAATGAATTTCAATTGATAGAGACATGTTTTTAATGAGCAAATATTGGACCCGACTGTGTGAAATATATAGGAGAATATTTTGATAACCTCATGACGCTATATTTTTGACATTATGATGTTGTTAAGTGTGCTCCGGGGTTATCAAACATATTGTTAAAATGAAGTAAATTGATTTCTATTAAATCGAATGGATAAAACTTCAAACATCAATAAAATAAATATTCTTACATATAATAATGTGCTTATTTTAAATTTCTTGAAAGTAGTATGACGAAGATCGACTTTGTCAGTGAACTTTTTATGTATGTATGATGATATAATGTTTGTTATAAGAAATCTAATGTATGGTTTTGTATATTTTGGTATATGTACCTGATCATTAACACTATATATTCATGGTTATGTTAATACATGTCTTTGATAACATTATGATTTTTTTTTTCACAGTTTATCATAGTATATGTAACTGATTACACCTAGATTTTATGATATTTTGCTTAATTCACCTCAAGATACATTGCTAAATAATTAATAAATTGGGGTTTAATTTTCATTGTTTTTATGGTATAAAGAGACCAATGAATTCATCCTCCACAAAATGATAAAATTTCTTACTACAGTACAATGTTTTTTCTTTAAACACGAAATAACTTTTCTAAAGCATGAAAATTTGACCCCACGAAAATAAGTAATCATCTTATAATTAACTTTTTTCCTCATGAATGCTTGCCAATTTGCATTATATATATATATTTACATTTGCTATGTTTTTCTACTAAACCAACTGTGCAATTGATTTGAAGTTCATTTTTGTGTATACTCACGCGTAGAAATATAAACGGTGAAACTCGCGGTAAAGTGACGTCACAATGAGGCTACAGAGACGTTAATAAAAATGTAACGATATAGGGCAGCAAGAAATTCAAATATTGAGCATAATATTGCTGCTTTTGAACTTGTAAAATGTAAATATAAGGAATGTTTTTAAGTTTAGTGTGAATTATTTGTGTGTAAATCACACAGACTTGCACGTAGGCATATTTTTCATGAAGCGCTAGCGCGCTTCATGAAATATGCCTACGTGACAAGTCTGTGTGATTTACACATCAATAACTCACACAGAACTGAAAAACATTCCTTAAATATTGCTTAGATCAAGATGTTGTTATTGTTATTTTAGGAGATCAGTGTCTTTCAGACCACAAATTGTTTTCGATGTATATAGATCCAGCCCGGAAAAGTGCAGGCCAGGACCATGAATGGACTGTTGGTAAGTTGGTAGTGAACAACTAGAAAAAAAAATCATGTACCAAAAAGAAATGTCTTTGAATGACAAATACAAAATGAATCATTTAAATACATCAGAGACTTAGATTCCTTATAAAGTTGGCATAGAAGGTAGTAAAAGCATACAATTATTTTGAATGCTGCACTGAGTTCTTTTATGAGACTATAAGCAGAATGTAATGGAAGGTTGTCCTTTAATTTGAACAGGAACAGAAATGAGACAGGGTTGCTTTTGGGAGGAGGAGATTTCCTCCCCAGAGGGACTTAAGCGAGCACTAGAAAATCCAGTCATGCGACGGCGGTACATATTAGATGCTGATGTCGAAGTGGCCACACTCTCAAATCTTGTGTACAATGCTCATCCAAAGACCGGGGATGTAGACCAGAGGTGTGATGGAAAAAGGAGAATAGATTACATTCTGTACAACAAGGAAATGGACATTGTAAGCATAATCCCACAAAAGAGCATTTAGAAGAAATGACAAGTTACTGTAAAGTATGAATTCATTCTAAACACCAGGAGTTTCAACTTTATCTGGATATTGTTAGTGATACCTTTTTATATGTTGTAGGAGATCAGACAGTACAGTTTTGTGACAAGACTGGCTGAGCTGACAGACCACATTCCTGTCTCCATGACATTCAACACTTCCCAGTGGTGAGCACCCAGCTCTATGACCATAAAACTTACATGAACTCATTTTTGATCTCTGTCACTTTTTCAGTATAAATTCCTTTTGAAAAATTAAAATGGCCTCAGAGCCCAATGATTTGGCAAGATAATATCATTCAGGAGACAAAAATGCACCCAAAGTATGGAAGTATAGTGAGATTTGAGATTTTGTTATTTTTCTGGAAGATTATCGCTATGCTAAAATACATTACATTTCTGTTGGAAAATAAAACTTACTTGAACAATCTGATCATAAATATAATTTTACTTTGCAAAATTCTTTTCTTTGTTGAATATTTCTTGTCTTTGATTGAGTCTCAGGTTTACTGGAGTAGACTATACTCAGGCTGTAATATAATTTATATAAATATATGATTCATAATATATAATTTATTTTGTTTAAAAAAGTTCTTTATGAAGAATTATTGGTATTGACTATTGTTTGAGATGCTGAGAAATGATATTATTTACCCCAGTAAAGTCTGATTGTTAATATTTTTGATATACATGTACTTGTATGAGTGATTTTGACTTCTAATAAAAATTGTTGAGTGATTTTTGTATGATTTTTGCTTTGGTTAACTTTGGTTACTTTACCAATTTTTTGTCACTTATTCATGTAAAGAGCATTGTTCAAAGGTTTTGGAAAATTTAATTAGATGTCATCCAAAAATACGCGAGATGCAAAACAGAAGAATATGTATTAACAGCGTTTTGACTTGCCAGTAATATTCTGAGAAATTTAGATGTTTGGCATATTTCATTACTACCCAAAAGTGATTACGAGAAATGAAAATAGATTGGAGTGTGTTGGACATTAGGGTCCCAAACAAAAAATCTGACAAGCCAAAATAAAAAACAAAATTAATCAAATAAATAACTGTCCAAATCCAGGAATTTGCCCGTGCTCGACCTTACAGCAACAAAAAAAAAAGGGGGTTGGGGTGGCAACCAGCATCTAAAGGAAAATTTAATATAGCAAAATACTATACTCAGAAAAATTTGGGCTCCCGCGTTCTATGGGCCTGCTCATAGTGTATTAAATCACATGAAAATGAATCATTTGATGTATTATAACATACACATAGAGCTGCGGAGGGTATAACGTTTCTGCCTCATCTGTCAGTCCTATTCTTTTCATGGCAACTCCTCTGAAACTGTTATTGTGTAGATGTGCATATTTGCAGGAAAATCATTTTTTTTCTTGGAGTTATGGCCCTTTTGAACTTCAGTCAGTCCTGATCTTGTCAGTGCAATTCCTCCGAAACCGCTGAACAGTATTTTTGTGAAACATTGTAGTTAAAAAGATGTGCATAAATTCATTTTTTTCTGGGAGTTATTCCCCTTCTGAACCTAAAAGCTTGGCCAAAATTTAGTATACTTTTGCACCAGTTTATTAGTGCATCTCCTCTTAGACCGCAGAATAGAATTTCATGAAACTTTGTAGTTAATAAGGACACACTGTGTAGATGTGCATATTCACAGGAAATTTTTATTCATTTTTTTTCGGGGGGTTATGCCCCTTTTGAACTTAGAGGTTTGGCCTTTGTCGGCACAACTCTGCAACTGCTCAACAGAATATCCTGCAACTTTGTAGTTTAAAAATAAGAACATGCTGTGTAGATGTGCACATTCACAGGGAATATTGATTTATGTCTTTGGATGAGATTTGATTTTTACAAACATCTGCAAAAGGGGGGGGGGGATTGTTAACCATTGAATTGTTTTATTTAATTCATAGCATTGCCATTCATTATGTGTAGCAGTGTCAAACTACATATGTATGTTCGAGCGCGGAGAACTATAAGCAGGGTGATACATCGTTTTACAGCAGGTATCTATCAAAATTTTCATCCCCTTCAAAACCTTTTGTCATTTCCTCTCCATTGCACTCCACTGCAATGTCAAGTTGTTTAACATCCAAACTAGATAAGAGAGAAAAAAACTTTTTAGAAAATCACTGGTTTATTTTATGGCTTTTTGCTCCTCATTTTGCTATCTGCTATGTACGTTCCAAAGAGATCAAACAACTCAAATAAAGTCATGACACTAGCCCCGATAAACAGGCCTAAGGATCCTCCAATGTCACCTAAATGAAAACAAGATACAATGTATTACATAATAGATTTAAAGTCATAGGCATATCAAGAATTTAAGTACTTTAAGTAAATGATGCTAAAATTGATGAATTACTTACAAAGCAAGGCAAAAATATCATAGGCCTCTTGTTGTGTTATCTCTTCATAACTTAGCTGTCTGTAAAAAATATTTAGCTCCAAAAAGTTGTCCCTACAAAGATAAATTAAAAATTAGAAGCAGAATGTCGTACAGACCTGATACGTTTTCATACAATGTGATTTGTGAAATACGCCAATTTTAGAGAAAACTCCCTACTTTAAGACGTTCTCATCAAATATGGTGCTTCTTTGAAATTTCAGCAGTTCTGTTCGCAAGTTTTCCACTGCTTCAAATAATAAAACGTCTTTATTCCCGACAACGAACCGCAGATCGTCCTCGGCACGTACGTGTCTGAAGCTCCTCTCTATTTTATTCCTTACGTCTTCTACATCCCTTAGGAAGTTTGTGTAGTTTTTGAATTCGTAATATTCCTTCAAATCGCGATCATTGATTATGTCCCGCCAAATGTGTATTACTTTGGTTGCTAATGACGGCCACCTATCGAACAAAAGGGCACCGCGAGTTGCGATCTCTTGCAGAAACTGTCTCAGTTGGCTAACGTCAGACATGAATTCACTGGAGTGAAATAAATTACTAACAGATATTTTTGAGCGATTACTGTATCTAAAATATGCCAATGTCGCCTGTAAAATGGATTCCATTCTGACCAAAACGTCACCCCTCACAGCCGTAGAGGTATTTTGGAGATCGTGGAGAGTGTTCAACATACTGGACTTAATTCTAATCAAGTCAGCTTTCTGTTTCTCTGTATGTTCTAGTCTTTTTTTGAGAATTCGCTCCGGTCTATCCACCGTCTCGTAATACAGAGTACTTTTTGTATGGTAAAATCTCTCACAGGCATCTATAAAATTCCCACTGACTAGGTTCATTTTTGTGATATTAAGAGTCGCGTCGGTAAACACTTCCCAAGTTAAGTTCCTGTAGTTTGACAGCGCTTCCATTATACTCAAGATATCGTCCCCCAGCTTCCCACTGTATCCTCTCGCATATCTTCAATGTAAAAATCTTAAATAATAGCAGCCAGATTATATATTATTAAAGATTATAATTACATGTATACCACAATGGCAAATTCATTAAAAAAAAAACTTTTTTCGCTTATCAATACCACATAATTCTCTCAAAAAAATAAGGTGTGGCGAAAATTTTGTGATCTACAATAAAAATATTACATGTATTGATTTACCTTAGAGTAAATACCATAGAACCCAGAATTATTTTAAAAAAATCATACTGATAATTCTGGCAAAAGAAGGGTTTGGAAAAAATTACTTGATGAATTTAGTATAATTGGTAAGAGATAACTTACGCATTGTGGTAGGTGGACTCGTTCAATAGTGGTCTGGGTACAACATAATTATTATAACGTCTTGCAAATTTCTGGAATTTATATCTAAATATAGGAGTTCCTGTCACGTAAGCGTCATAGAGAACCGTGAAGTTAGCTAGTGCTCTCTTGGCGTTTTCTGTTCGGATGTCTACCATATTAATTGTACTCACATAAAATGTTCTCCTTATTGCCATATCATTTTCCGTGATCAGATTTCGCAGGTTCGTCTCATAAGCAAACACAAATTCATGGAAACTGTTACACAAGTGTGAGAGTGTTCGTTCCTCCATTGCGTCCCTCCCTCTCATAAAGTTTTTCTGCACATTGTAGATTTGAAATCTTAGCAGTAGTATCCTTCTGTTTGTGACTCTGATTGCACTAGTGTAATGTTCTGTTACATTTCTAATTTGATTCAAAATTCGCTTCTGAATAGTTTCTTCGATCAGTTGTTTTACATCTATAAATGTTTGTTCCATTTGTTTCACTTTTTCTTTGAATGTCTCAAGTTTTCGAGCGTCCATGCGATGTGTAATTTCCCGCGCTCGTTTGAGCTTTGAGTTGAGAGTGGTTACGTTTATTTTGTCCATGAATCTTTGGCCTGCGTATTCTGACGTTGTTGCATATGACATGACGGGGTCATACACGGTATAATCGCAGTCAGTCGGACAATTGCAGCTCTCCAACCAGAGCGAAAAATCATCTGCAAAAACAAAAAATAATCGTCTACACCATATATGAAAAAGTATGCATTTGTATGGAAAGCATGCTCGAATGCTTAATTGCCTCTAAAAGTATTATTTGAAATACTCATTTGTATTATATGCAAGACCTATTTTTGTATTCATATGAAGCAGAATTTATTCAAAAACTTCTACATGAGAAGAAGAAAACACTTGCTGTGGCCTTCAACTCGACATTTCGTTATATCGACGACGTATTATCAATTAATTCATTCATATGTCGACTCGATATATCCCAGTGAGCTTGAAATATTCTGACACATCTGTTTCATATTTGGATATTTTACTAGAAAAAGACGTTAATGGTAACCTAACAACAAAGCTTTATGATAAACGTGATGACCTCAACTTTTCATTCGTCAACTTCCTTTACTTATGTAGCAATATACCCTTATCACCTGCATATGGGGTTTATGCCTCTCAGATGACTCGATACACGAGAGCATGCTCTACGTATGAACAATTTCTAAAACGAGGCAAACTTTTGACAAACAAGTTGATGAAACAAGGATATCAACAGTCTCGTCTGAAGTCATCATTTCGCAAGTTTTACGGTCGATACAATGACCTTGTCAGGACATACAACCTATCATTAAGTCAAATGCTGATTGATGTTTTTCATACCAATTGTTAGGCCATTACTAATACACTGAACTGTCTACGGATTTTTCCGGTTTATTTCCCCGATCATGACAAGGAGCATACGGCGGGTGTGACCGGTCGGCAGGGGATGCTCACTCCTCCATGGTACCTGATCCCACCTCTAAATTTTTAGGTCCCTGTTTGCTCTGCTCCAAGTTTGTTTCGTTTCATTGGACTTTATAGATTGAATACTGTTCGTTATCTTCATATTTCATTCATTTTGTAAATTCTTATTCGATTTCAATCCAATTTGTACAGAACACTAGAAAGGTTCTACCGTAGAGAGGTTTAAGACAAGTGAAGTACTGCTCAAGGTTACAAGGAGGAGGAAAACCTGCAAGCAGAAAAAACAAAGATATTATTAAAACAGCAATACAAATAGATGTGTGGAGCATAAAAATCATTGTGACAGTTTACCAAGGATAAAAAGCTGGCCTAAAATTATGACTGTCACTATCAATCTGAAAGTAATTCTGGACGCTGTGTAACTCTATCAAATCCAAAGTTAGTTTACCAGCTCAAGTGCAAGGAATAAAGCATTAAGCTATAAAGCTGATTTCTGAAGTTCGATAGAGGACTTGTAAAAGGAGGCACATCCTTTTTAAATTGAAATGTCTTGCATCATTATTACAGCTTCAGGAACACAGAAACCAGGGATTTTGTACTATCAATGGATTATCGATAACAACAACACATTTACAAAAATATGTACAAACAGACGGATAATCAAACAATATAAAGAAAGAGTAAACAGAGATCCTGTTTGAGTTCATAAAAAATATATAGTGTTCTGTAAGCATTGTCAAGCAACTTAAACGGGCCTCTAAAGAACGATATTTCATAAATACATTGCTTCTGACTAGAAGGAATGAAATATATATTGAAAGTACATACATGTAGGTGAATTTAGTGTACATGTACGTCTGAAGTTTTCGAAATATTACGACAACAAACAACAAGATGACATGGTGCAAAACAAAATAGGTTTTTCTTTGTATTGTAAGGAATCAATTCTCCAATTTGTAAAATCATTCTTATAAAATATTTTCAAACCATATTTAAAACATATATTGTGTCATAAAAGATCGGGTTTTTGGTTTCAATAAGGGGTTAAAGGGGTTAAGAAAGATTAAAAATTCCCATGGAGGAACTAATATTTATATCTATCAATTTAATATGCAACTAGCAATATATGAGCTGTTTCAAAAGATTGTGATTACCATTAACTTTAATTGATTCATTTACGCCCGGAAGGATTTTAACGCATATTCAAATTTTCAGAGAGAGAGAGAGAGAGAGAGCAATTTGAACAGGGTGAGCATTGTAGCCCAGGGACCTTTAGTAATAAATTAATCAAATGTCAATTCTATAATAATAAACTGTCAATTTATTACTGGCGAGATTGTTTTTCATTTCATATAATTCCCTTATGACCATTAAGAAAAACACAAGATAATTTGAAAACAATTTACGCTTATTGCAAAACTAATAATGAATATAAGGGCGTAAATTGAATTGCACTGCAAAATATAAAGCATAAATTGAATTGCAGAAATAAATAGTCTAAATCTGAGATAAAGTTTTAATGGAGTCTAAGAGTTTCACGTGGAACATACAGATATCCTGTACTCCAGATACAATACGGTTCTAAATTTCAATTTTTATAAATAATTTACCATTTATGCTGGGCATGTAGTAATCCCGGCATCCACAATGTCTAGAAGACACCTCCGTATAGCATTCCACTAAACAAGAATCATACGAGTAATTGGGAAAGAACTTTAGAGACTTGTACTGACATTGACCGTGGGGTATTTCTAGATTTTGAACCTATAAAAAACATACCTTTCTGCTGAATGAAAAGTAGGTAAAACACATGAAATGAGGAAAGTAAGACGCTCTAGTTAACATTAATTGAAAAAAAACAGAAAACTATTCTTTCCAAAAAATGCATATGCATGTACACATATGCAAGCAAACTTAGTGCGAAAATAAGAAGTTAATTAAAGTCCTCAAATACTGAAAATTCTTGACAAACCTGATCCGGAAATTCAAATTATTTGAATGATTTTTTTTGCTTTGTTGTACTCTTACTAGTATGACTTGGAGTCCTATGAATGCCTGTGTTCCCGTAGGCACAGCGATCCCCAACTCACGAACTCTTGGATGGTCGTTTTGTACGTGAGTGAGTACTTTAACACCCGCGGCGTCATTAGGTCCTGGCATGTACTCATACTGTTCTACGTTTAACAGCAACTTCAAACCATTGTCTGCACCTTAATTGAAGAGTAACAAACCTTAAGTGAAATTGTAGCTTTACATATTTGAAACAACCGATTTTAGTGTCAATTCTAAAGCTTTCAACAACTTCTTATTTTTTTTTCTAAATGAAATAGGTGAAGATAACGAACAGTGTAGATCGATCTAAGTGAGGTTGTTGAAATTCCTGTAACATCAACTTAATTGTTAGTAGCCTGTTTTGGTTTTAAAAATTGATCGTACTCAGAGCATGCTCTTGGATATCGAATAAGATGGGAGACATAAACACCATATGCAGATGATAGTGGAATATTAGTACATAAATGAGGAAAGTTGACGATGGAAAAACTGAAGTCATCACTTTTGTCATATAGTTCAGATGTTAATTGGCCCTTATCGTCTATAGTCAGTAAAACATCCTAAAATGAAACAGATCTAACAGACTCTGTTGTGTCCTTTATTTCGAGTTCACTGGGATATACATGTATCAAGTCGACGTAAGAATGGAAGTAACTAATGTTAATTGATAATTAACGTCGTCATTATATCTGAATATCGAGTTAAGGAGCACAGCAAGTGTTTTCTTCTCTTCACATATAAGTTTTTGAATTAATTCTGCTCAGTGGGAACATAAAAACAGATCGACTAATAAAGTAGTATCGGTATTCCAGAAGATTGTGTGAAGACCTGGTCTACAAAGACTACGTAGATGTTGTTAATGAGGGACTCCAGCTTCCTTATATCAACCTCAGAGTACTTATATGAATCAAAGTGATTTTTAACAAAGTAAATTTGTAATGACCAATCACAAGATATAAAAATTTCCGAGTTCCATATTTATTGAAGAAGTAGTTGTCTATGATCTATTAAAAACGTTTAGTTTTTAATTTGTCATAAAAATGGTTGTATAAAGTGTAGAAAAGTCATACGTTTTGATGTTACTGACTTCTGAATTAAAAAAAAATGTAAAAGATCATTGGAGTTTTTGAGAATACACATATGATAAACACATCTGTTCGAATATGCTGTAGCACGTATGTCTGAAGTTTTTCCTTTACAGCAGTTAAATATTTTTATGAGGAGTGAAGATAGGAGCTTGGTGGAGCATTTGCTGGACCCAGCAATGTATCACTTTTTTGAAACTCTTCAAATTTGCATGTAAATCTACCACATTATTTGCTCCCTATGATTCAGCAACAAATCATAGTAGTTTATGGCATTTTTTTCTAAAAATATTTCATGCAAATACAATGCATACCTGTAGATCTGGCATTCTCAGGAGCCACGAATCTGTAACAGTTGCCATAGTCTGTCAATTGTTCTGTAAAGTTTTGGGGTCCACATGGTAAATCCGCCCACTGGCAACTAAAAAGAATATAATATATATGTATTTTAATTTATAAAGAACACAACGAAAAGCAAATAAAGTATGCAGTAACGAGCATTTTGATAAAAACAATTCCTCAAAAGATACTGGCTACTGGCTTGGATAAATGCAAAAATTAAATGTAAATTTCCCATTTACTTCCATCTAGTGAATAAAAAAATACAACATGATACATGTACATGCCAAAAAGCAATTTTCTTTGATGTCTTACAGTTGATTCTAAAAGCTACTCACATTACCTTACAATAAGATCCTCCTTTCTGTGTGAAGCCTGTTGGAAAAACTGGTTGAATGTTAGATTGGAGGCATGGAACCTATCTAAATCTTTCTGTGAGAAGAATTTAGAACTTCCATTGTACATAGTTTCTATAAGACGATACCACTTCCTTTTGGCTGCAGTTGTTGCTCTGTAAAGAAAACTGGTTTTTGCAAACATTTAATTATTCCAGACAATACTACATATACAAGAATGAAAAGGAAAATGTTATGGCCCAAAGATTAATAAATCTTTTTTTCCAGGCTCTTTGGTTCTATAAATTGGCCGCATAAATGAAATTGTACTATTTTTTTTTTTTAAATTATCTTTATGTGGCCACAAAACTTTTTGTTTTTATCTTTGAAATCCACGAGTGATACAAATAAATGTTTGATATGGATACACGTGTAGTGTTAAAATTGTTTGAAATAAATGCTGTTACCACGCGCGTGCGTGTGTGTATTTGTGTGAGAGGCTATGCCAAGTTTGCATAACAACATTTCACATGTCTTTGTCATTTATTTTCTCAGCAAGTGTATCTTCATTGTGTTTAGAGCTGTTGTACCTATTAATAATTCTGCGTATTTTTCTATACTCCATTAAACAATGTACATGTAGGTCTTGGTTACCAAAATTGTTATTTTTTTTAACTTCGCATATTCCTGTTTTTGTATTTACTGCAAAAATGCTATATGATCTACAGGTATTCAAATACATTGTAGTTTAATACATTAATCGCCCTTTTAAATCATTTATGAGTGTCTTTGTTTGGTAATAATCATCAAGTACATTCTTATTCGTTTCTTTTAAGATGCACTGTAATTAGATAAATTAATCACTTGGAACCATTCTACGTAAAAACTGGATCTGTTGCCCATGAAGCTCACGGGAATTAAGATTAATTAATAGTTTATTCGAATTAGATGAACCATTTTCAAATGAACTAATTGATTATCCCTTTTAAAAATTAGATTGGTTGCCACGTCCAAAGATCTTTTCATATTTAAAAAAGAATATCACTGAAAATTTAAATGATATAAAAACTTAAATGCAATTCAGTACTGGGGAATTCTGATTGTACACACAAGTACTCTGAAGTAGATATTAAAAAGATGCGTGAGTTTCTGATTTACAATATCTATGTAGTTTTTCGAGATCAGGTCTTCCAACAATCTGTCGGAAATCCCATTGGTACCAACTGCGTTCCGTTATTAGCAGACCTAGTTTTGTATTCATGTGAAGCAGAATTTATTCAAAAACTTCTACACGAGAAGAAGAAGACACCTGCTGTGGCCTTCAACTCGACATTTAGATATATCAACGAAGTATTATCAATTAACAATAGTTACTTCCATTCATATGTCAACTCGATATATCCTAGTGATCTTGAAATAAAAGATACCACAGAGTCTGACACAACTGTTTCATGTTTGGATATTTTACTAGAAAAAGGCATTAATGGTAACCTACATATAACAACAAAACTTTATGATAAACGTGATGACTTCAACTTTTCAATTGTCAACTTTCTTACTCATGTAGCAATCACCCTTATCACCTGCATATGGAGTTTTTGTCTCTCAGCTGATTCGATACACAAGAGCATGCTCCACGTACGAACAATATCTAAAACGAAGCAAGCTATTGACAAACAAGTTGATGAAACAAGGATATCAACAGTCTCGTTTAAAGCCAATATTTTGCAAGTTCTATGGTCGATACAATGACCTTGTCAGCAAATACAACCTATCAGTAAGTCAAATACTGTCTGACGTTTTTCATACTAATTCTTAGGCCATTATTAAAACAAAACACTGATTTGTCTACGGATTTTTTCGTTTGCCCGATCATGGCAACGAGCACACGGCGAGTATGACCGGTCGACAGGGGTTGCTTACTAGTACTCCTCCATGGCACCTGATCCCACCTCGATGTTTTTTAGAAGGTCTGTGTTTTCTCTGCTCCTGGTTTTTATTGTTTCATTGGACTTTTGAGCTTGACTACTGTTCGTTATCTCGATATTTCATGAAATGATATTTACAATTCACTGTTGTTTCCCTCATTAACTGTTTTAGTTCAGTTTCAAAGTCACACTGAGTTGATCTGAGACCAAAAGAATGATCAGTAGAGAGAGAGAGAGAGAGAGAGAGAGAGAGAGAGAGAGAGAGAGAGAGGATAACCTTCAGAAATTGGTAACAGAATGTGAATGTAAGTGCTAAATGAATTTTCTTTGCACACATTGTTATACCATTATATACATAAAAATACATATGATGAGTATAAAGCCTTAAAGCACCTTTAATCATTCAATGCTGAAATATACTAGTAATCATTAACAAATAAATTCCATTTTGGACATTTCATTCTGAACATGTATCCAATATCTTCATCACAAGTTGGTTTTTATCATCAAAAGCCGGTAATATACTATCCCATTAACTTACCACTGTTTGATAAAGTTCCTATATTACTAAATATAGCCAATACCTCTTACTAAAACTATTGTACATTGTCAATATTTTTTGTACAATATTCAACTTCATTAAGATTTACCTAGTACTTTGACCATTCTTTTAAAACATAGAAACAAAATGAGAAAAAAACTATACTTGAATGCGTTTTGGTTACATATAGTAACCGCCGGGAACGTCAGCGACTGGTTGTAGTTGATTTTGACGTTGACGTTGACCGGGTTACTGTGTAGATACAGGATTCTGTCTATGATCTGGTACGACATCAACGTTATACAAAACAACATCAGCAACGTCCACAGCAACCTAAATAGATAAATCTATTGATATTCACAGGCCCGTAGGAAGCAATTTCAGTTTGGGCGGGGGGGGGGGGGCACACCTTTACATTTTCAGTTGAGGGGGGCACTATCAACTACCAAAAATTTCTTGACAAGCAAAAAAAAAAAAAAAAAAAAAAGGGCATCAGACGTTTTTATTGAGGGGGCACAAGCATATAGTATCTATGTTTTCTATAGTAATCTATATATCGGCAAAATTATTGGGGGTTCCTACGGCCATGATTCAATAATCACCAGATGGAATATTCTGTTTAAATTAAAGTCATTTCATGGTCAATTCCTTAGTGCCCGGAAAGGGTGATTTATTGATCAGCTGAGATCATTTATAATTATTTCTGAAAAGGAAATTAATGTTTTACACTTGTCCTCGTCAGACAAAAGTTTTCTTAAGCTACTACAGGGGAATAGTCAAGTTTTGGCTTTACACCGCTCAAAGAATAAAAGATACAACTATAACACAGAACTCAGTTCTTCGTCGTTATATTATGTTTTATTAAATTATTTTTTTTCATTAAGCTTGATCAAATTTGTGATCAATGTTAAATACTTGATAATCTTTACTAATACATATGTTATTGACACATTCATGCACCAAATATCCGGATAAACCTTTAAACGAGGTCTGTATATATTAAATGGGGAATTCGCTGCAAGACAACATTTTTCCTTATGTGCTTTGCACACATTGCTATTGAAATCTTTCCCGAATTTTAAAGCTAAAATGTCCCAGACAGATATTTAAAACAGACATTTTGTACGAAGTTCCAGCTGACTTCATTGGCAAACATGTCTGCACTTAATTGTTATCAATGTTAACGTAAGAGCTTTTAGCTAAACATTCATGCTGAGTGAGTGATTAAATTTGTATTGTATTCTATCAACATGATAATTAATAATGATAATACGTTATGAAACTGCCTTTTTAAAAACCAAATCATTGAAAGCCACATTTAGTGTTAATTTGTAACCCTTGTTGTTGCTTAACTTGAAGAAAATAAATTTAATGACGCTCCCTATACTCATTCAACTTAAAACTCATATCGAGGCTAAACGTGATGAAAATGTTGATAACACCTTCAAAAATGTTAATTTTATTATTTTTAAAAATCAATTATGGCATTTTCAATTTTTAACGGGAACCAGATTACACTTGCCGGTAGGGAATTAGTATTCTCAGAATGCTTGTTTTGAATAAGAGTGTAATTCTGAGCTTTCATACTGATTAAACGATTTGATCTGTACAGTAATCAATGAACATGAAAGTTATATTTATAATGTATAAATGAAAGTTATGTCATTGCCGCTTAAATTCCACCGCCCCAAACCCACAATTCTTTCTAAAAGTAGGAGTGAATGTACGCTTATGTTAAAGACCAAATCTATTACATAGAGGTTTACACTAACTTTATTAACAATTTATTGTGCCATTGATATTGACAAATTATAACACTGACATTTTCAAACACAAATTTTCATGAGGTGTTCATTAAAAACTAGAAATGTCACGTAAATTACACTTGTAATTTTCTTAAAAACTGATTTTTGGTGACCTCATCGTATTATTAACTTTCAAGCTTATGAAAGAGGCATTCCTGAATACTGTATGAAGTAAACTGAAAAAAATATTCTAACTTTGAGACTAATCATATAAACTCTGCTACAGTCATATCTCACAAAAGTTCATCAATTTCACTTTACTGTAAAAAAGGGAACAAAACTTCAAAATAGTGATTTAGGAATGTATGTTATATGCATCATAAAATAAAGTTTCAATTCCAGAACAAGGAATATGTTTCAATCTTGTTAGTCTGCGAAAAATATCATTAATGTATACATTTCAATATATCTTGTTCCTGAGATTTTTTTTAAATAAACTGTCTTCTCATTACAAATTGACCAGTTATTTGCAGAATCACTCAAACATTTCTATATAATGCATTTACGGGGGAACGGGATCAAATGAAGCACTAATTGAGCTTCGGTGTCTAAATATTTATCTGTGTAAAAGTTCTTTCAATAGGTACCATAATCGATCCTTTAAAAAATCAGTTTAAAAGGCATTATGTGATATTGACGAAGAATTCACTCTTTTAGGACTTGTATTCTTTGAATTTTTATCTAAATTGAACCTTAATCTACACGCACTAATGGACTATATGTACGATGGACTAGCATACTTCTTAACCAGTTAAGTTTTGATGAGGATATCTCTCTATATACTGATATGTAGGTTAAGAGTATGAATATTGATGAAGAATCATGTTCTTCCCGGCATCTTTTATTGTTATTTCGAATTAAATAACAGGGAAACTAAACGTAGTTCAAAAGCAGTCTACGTTTTTATATGTTTTTCTAATTCTCGGTAGTATTTTATAGTATTTAAATAACATGATGTTAATGAGGAAAAAAAGATGCTGTATTAATATACATGTACGTATCCAAACCTAGCTTTATTCAATGACTATTGAAAGAATTGATGAAAATTTCACTAACTTTCAATCAGAATAGACTGTCTCTATAATTTCTTTCTGACATTAAAGCTTCAATAATTTTTTATCGCAGAGTCAGATCATACGCTGTTATCACATGACCGATATATCTCTCAGTTTAAATCAAACCTAGAAAACACGTGTTCTGATTCTTCTGATGGTGTAGTGTCTGATGGTGTAGTGTCTGATGGTGTAGTGTCTGATGGTGTAGTGTCTGATTTAAAATGCAGAATCACAAGTGTTCCCAAGATTACACATTCTAAAGGGTTTGTCTGGAAACTTGCGTGAAAACAGTTTTTGTTCAAGTTGGATCAGAAATATCCCCAACAGAGCAAAATCTATCAAAAGATCTCTGCCCTACTCCATCCACCATCCCCTTACCCACACACCCTCTGATCTTGACTGAAAGTTTAGGGAGGATACGGACTACGTTTTTTAATCACTTTGTTGGATTAAAATTGAATGATATTCCATTGCATAAATATATACACGTATATACATACATAAAAATTATTTTACGAAAAAAACATTATTTCTATAACATGTATACATAAGGATAAAAATTACCATGAAAAAAATACCCATGTAAATACACCAGTCATTCAACTGTGCATCTTTTATTGCCTTGAATCAAGAGTGCATTCTAACGTATATTGTTAAAAGTGTCATTTACTGACTATCAATTTATTCTTTTTAATAAGCATTAACAAAGTCCATCAATGCATGATCTCTGAAAACATTGGATTAAGAATAAAAATCACAGAATAAAATTTAAAAAATTACCTTCGTAATATATACGTTTCATGGTAGAATATGAATCGGATCCCATGGAGGGTAGTGGAGGAGACGAAATCTCTCCAAAGATGTGTCCATGTCGATTTGTGTTGTGTGGAGATTTCCTCGTCTTCAGAGGGTAAAACTCTAACCTCGCACGGATAATAATTATTTCTTAACTCTCCCGACTTTTTACTGGAAGACATCGCCCTTATTTGTAGCCTGTAATCTCACACATACTAAGTTTACGATCTGTTTGTTTTGCAAATAATTTTGAAATCCCGTAATATCCCCATGCCTTCAACAGTGAAACTATCAGGTCATGCAGACTATCTAAAATGTCGATATTTACTCTTATTACCGTATAATGTGCACCATTGTCGGATAATTTTAAAAATTAGTTGAAATTCCCAAACGAAGACAGTTCTTTCATTTAGTTTAAAGTATTTCTATACTTACTTCAGAAGCAGCTGATTTCTGTACGTTCTTAAATTTTTATGTGTTGAAAACAGAAATATTAAAGACGACAAATTTCAATACATTGTACACAGAAGTTTATCGATGGTACAATAGACATAAACACATTTAATTGATGAATTGATTCAAAGAAATCAAATCCTCGATCTTAAAAAGATGAAAAGTGGTGCTTTGTGTCTTTCTAGCATTATAACGCAAGGCACCAAAACTTGCGAACAATTAGTATACAATTAATTACAAGTGTATCGATTGACAAAGCGAAATTAGATGAGATCCCGTGAGAGGTGAGCAATGCTTATATATATATATATATATATATATATATATATATATATATATATATATATATATATATATATATATATATATATATATATATATATATCCATTTTGTTTTGATTTATCTTCCTTAATGATTCCTAGGTGAAAAAAATCAGATAGTTTACATGTATTGGTCCCAGTTGACTTCACTTTAGAGGAACTTGGATTTAAATCTATAAGTGGTAATCCAACTTTAGTTCCCTTTTAAAGAGGAAGTTCTTCAAAATGATATGTCCAGCTTTAAATATTGTTATATATTTTTTTTATATTCCCAACAACCAAATTGTATTTGAATCAAGATATAAATCGGGTTCTTGTAATTTTCTTCCGAATCTCTTTCTTTACGTCACAGGAAAATATTAATAGTAATGAAGGATAAACTTCAGGAGTACTGCAACAACATGTTTGAGAAGTGGTACGTGTTATTAAAATGTGGATACGTAAAAAATCCAAGGAACTTTCAGAAAATTTGAAATCACAAAATTTTACCAAATTCTATAGCATCAATACGTACGACATTTCAATAAACTATACAACCATTCCCATGACAAATAAAAGACCAGACTTTTTGGCATCATGGGCAACTGCTTAATTTGCTGTATTTGTATACATGTACCTTGTCATTAGTCATTTGCAAACTTATTTTATTAAAAAAACATTCTTATTCTACGTACACGTACTTCGAGATTTAAATTTAAAAGACGCTTGCCTTTTTCATTCATAACATCTATTTAGTTTTAGGAGACCAGGTCTTCCAAGAGTCTGTTGGAATTCCCATGGATATTTATTGTACCGTTATTAGCGGACCTGTATTCTCACGAAGCAGAAATTATTCAAAAACATCAAAAGAAAAAAGTCTCTTGTCGTGGCCTTCAATCAACATTTAGATATATCGACATTTTATCAATTAACAATAATTATTTTCAATCATACGATGATTCGATATATCCCATTGAACTCGAAATAAAAGACACCACAAAGTATGATACATCTGCTTCTTATTCGGATAATTTATCGTGCAGAGAAAGGCACTGATGGCAAAATAACGTCTAAATTAATCTTTATGATAAACGTGATAACTTCAACGTTTCAACTTCCCTATTAATATAGTAATATACCATCATCACCTGCATATTTGCAGTTTATGTCTCCCTGTTGATACGATACATGTTCTTCGTACGTGCGAATAATTTATAAAACGAGTCAGGCTTATGACAAATAGTTTGATGATACCATATCAACAATATCGTTTGGAGTCAACATTTCGGAAACTCTATGTTCGATACAATTCCTTGTTTGCAAATACAATCTGTCGTTAGGTCGAATGTTGACTGACGTCTTTTATAGAAATTGTTAAGGCATTATTTTAATCTGAATTTTCTTCGGATTTTTCTGTTTATTCGATCATGACGGTGGGTGTGACCTGCCGACAGGGGATACTTACTCCTCCATGGCACTTATGCCTTTGTTTTCAGAGGTCCGTGTAACTGTTGGCTCTGACCAAAATTTGTATTGTTTAAATTGACTTTAGAGCATGACCACTGTTCGTCATTTTTACATTTCATCCAAATCATTATCACAGTAAATAATATAATATTAGTAAAATAAAACCTTAGAAGAGGAAAAATATATATCAATAAAATAAAAACTTAACAAAGCAAATAATGTAATATCAGTAAAATAAAAGCTTAAGTGTGCAGTTAAATTTGTTTAAACTCCAAATTTAAGTTTTCATAAATACAGTAACATACTTTATTTGAGTTGAAGGTAACAAAAAATGTTTGTTAAATTTTGAAAAAAATTCCTATAAAGAAGATTCTTACGGCATATCCCTAAATAATTATTTGTTCTTTTCTGCTATCTCTTCCATATGCATAGGGTCACTCTCATCTAACCATAAAAAATTAACAGTGCATTCTTTTCAAAGAAAAAAAATCGAAGAGAGAATAAAGATAGTCTTTTCAATAATTGAAAAAAAAAATGAAGAAAATAAATCAAGCGAATTCTGCACTTGCTTTTCATTTGTTAACGGAGGTCGAAGTCTAAAATCCAAGTTTTCAATTGATAATGATCGTCTGATGCTTTCTATGATTGATATCTTTTTTGCTCTTGAATTTGGTGTATCTAATCCGAATGATTGCTCGATTTCAACAAATGTGGCCTGGTTGTTTGAAATTCTTTTTTGTTCTTGCTTAATGGGCGGGGTTTATAGAAAAGTGTGAGATATTTACAAATAACTCACACTAATCACACCTAACTATGGTACAAAAGTAAGACCTTATATAGAGCTTTCGGTGCAGTACTTCGATATTAAAAATAAATATAACGATAGGTAAAGGTAATTACGAAAGCCCATTGAGCTCATTTTCGTAGGTTAAAAAAATATTTTTCGCGTTATAACGCTAAACTTTCGCTAATGAATGCGTAACTTTCGCGTTATAACCCGAAACTTTCGCGAATAAACGCGTAACTTTCGCGTTTTAACGCGAAATTATACATATATAGTCATGTTACTCAGGAACCTGTGATCTTGACTGACAGATAAAAACATGAAGGTAGAGGGGGACTTCTATGAATTTATAAATGACATTTCTTCAGAAGATGTAAAAGAGAATTGATGCGAGAAATGGATAGATTAGTGTTGATTTTGGATTTAATCTCAAAACTCTACTCATTTATTAAATGAATATTCCTTTTAAGATTTTATTGTTTTTCACTTGATGAATCCAAGAAATTCTTTAGAAAGATCTCGATCCACTCGTTGCTTTCTTTGAATAAATTGTCAATGTTTTCGTAAGTAATGGTTATGACCAAGTGGCGCAACCTTAAAATACGATGTTGTATTTCTACAGTGAGTCTATCGGAGATGAATAATTTGATACAAATATTTGTCATCCAATTTCATCATTAGGTTACTCATGTGAAGTGACACAATTGTTCCGTAAAATATACAAATTTACCTCATTGTTGTCAATTTTCTGAGATCTTTTATTTCAAATTCTATAGAGAGTGTTAAAATGACACCGGAAAAAGGGATCATTTTCCCGAAAGTTTCACTTTGGAAGAACTCGCATTGACTTTGAAAATGCTTGTACAGCGTTGAGAAAGACAAAATGTGACGGCAAAAAGAGATTTAGAAAGAGGAGAGAAACAATCAATGACGAGAAAACATAAAATTTCAGCTTGTAATAATCCAAGTTCAAAATAGTCTTTCGTTTTTCATTGTAATGAATAAACTAGATCATTAAAAAGTAAAACAAACTGGAGACTTATGTAAATGTCTCTGTTTTACAGGAAACGTTTCGCTTTATAACGCGAAAGTTTCGCGTTTATTCGCGAAAGTTGCGTTAAAACGCGAAAGTTTCGCGTTATAAAGCGAAAAATATATATTTTTTTACCTACGAAAATGAGCTCAATGGGCTTTCGTAGGTAATAAATACATAAGAGAAAAAAAACATCGAGGATTCATTTTATTATGCCTGAGTCGTTTGTTTTTAAATTAATGTAAAATTAACTGAGTTGTTAATAAACAAAATGACTTTACTTACTCCAGTATTTGAGAGGGTTTTAAATTATTTTATTTCACAACGTAATTTGATAAAAGCACATTATCATATATGAAGTAAATATATTCATTCTTTGAATGTACAGTTGATTTTAACAAGAGGCCCAAGGGCCTTAACGGTCACCTGAGTACAATACAACAATTTAGAGGATCCATAAACTGAAAAATGAAGCTTTGTTGCCCAAAAGCAAGAAAAATAGTATGATTAGCATCAACAAAATAATTGGTATAGTATCTATCTGCCTATCTGACTTTCCAAGTCATTAAATCTATGAAAGTACATTTTCATTATACAATAAATTATCTTGCATAATTCTCTTATTCTATTAAGCTTTCAAATACATTATTTACATTGATTAATTATCAAAGGTGAATGGCAAAGGGGAATAACTTTGCTCAGCAGAATACAAGTTAATAGAGCCCTGGCCAGGACTAGAACACTTGACTAAATGGTCCAGGTGTTCAAAAATCTGGTAAAAATACCCTTGCATATTAAAACTTTTACTCTGTTTGCCTTGAACATCCCCAGAAGCATAGAAGATTTTCAAAGAAATGCATTTTCACCATAAAATTAAATAAATAAAGCCCCATCCTTACCCAGAACATCTGACCCATTGGCCACGAACTCACAATTCTGGAAGAAGCACCCTTTCTCATTATAACTATACACTTGTTTCTTTACTTTATAACCAGTAGTAGAAAAAATATTTTGAAAGAAATTATGCATTTTCACTATATATAATCAATAGAGCTCTTTCCCCCTCACCAGAACCCCTGACCCAAAGGCCATGAGGCATTCTTCCTTATCATAACCATGCACTTCCTTTGTTTGAAAAATACCCAGGCGCACACAAGATTTTGAAAGAATTCATGCCAATTCCCTATCTAATCAATAAAGCCCCGCCCTAACACC